TACAGCTGATAAAACACCTTTGAAATTAATCAGAGCAAAGGCCACAACCCAGACCTTCTCTTCTCAAGAAGGTAGTAGGAGGTAATAAGAGGGTCGAACGCTTGTTAAGCCTTTCTAACAGCCCTCGCTGCTGGATCAATTGGTAACAACTTCAGACATTGGAATCCAACGGAGCTGAATGGATGTTGTGCTCGTGGCAATTAGTATGTGATAAAAATATACAACAACTGTACTGAACTAGAACCGTTTATCTGACCCTATCTCTTCTACTTTTTTATCCCACAGATTGCACTGATGACAGTCACACTGTTCCCCATCCGTCTATTCATAGCAGCGTTTATGATGCTGCTGGCTTGGCCTTTTGCTTTTCTGGCCTCAGTAGGGAGCTCGGAGAATGCCGTGGAACCCCAGTGCCTCTGGAGGAGGTTAGTGTGTGTTGTCTGTTAATGAGTTGAGATGTTTGTTATTGTTGAATTAATGCTGGCATTTCATATTCTTTTCAAAGCTTAGCCAGATTGGCTAATTGATTAATGTTTTGGTCTGCTAACATTAACTCTTTGTGAAAACTTCTTCTCAGACAGACAGTCTTAGTTTTAGTAGGTGACTAATGTATCAATAAATTCAGTCCTCTTCATCAAGCATCAATAACTTCCTATTTAGTTTTTGTCTTAGAGAATAAGATCAGACTGCTTTACTAGTATCTGAAGCAACATTGTTTACATGGCGGACAATTGTTGTCTGTAACCAGGCTCCGATTTTAACAATCAAACTGTCATGCACAAGCAACACTGATGTGTCATTGACCTTTTTGTTTTTATCTTCCTTATTGATACTGCATAATTTTCTATTGAATAAGTTATATCTCACAGGATAATGAATGCATGAGGGAAACGTTTACTTTTTTAAATTTTATTTACACAGAAATGTTTTAAACAGAAGAGCACTATTGGTGTTATTTCATGGCTGCCTCAACAGCTCTGTCTGTTTCATTTTCTATTTCCTAATCTGTATAATCTCTGTAAGCCTGCTAGTTTGTTGAATAATCCACTTTTTCCACACAGCTGACAAAGTTGCCCTAACTGTGAGGATTTGTGAGAAGGCTGTGTTTCCTGGATATTTAGTTTCAGTTTTGCGTAAGAGAAAGACACTGATACAGCCTTTGTATACTGTATATCAGTTTAGGACAGTGGGTTTTCTGTTGTTGTTTTGATTTATTGTCTGGGTGTTTGTAGGGAATCCAATCCAGCTCCACCTTCTGGAATAACACCCTCGTTGTTGTCTCATCTGTACTGTTGCCTATAGCCATGCTGTTTCATATTTGACAGAAGATGCAGTGTTTATGCATTAAATATGACAAATGTGTTTCCAGGCTTGTGGATATAATTCTGAAGATCATCATGCGGGTCATGTGGTTTGCGGGAGGTTTCCATTGGCTGACAATTAAAGGCCAAAGGGCCTTACCTTCAGAGGCACCCATCCTCACCCTGGCACCTCACTCCTCTTACTTTGACGCCATCCCAGTCACAATGACAATGGCCTCTATCGTCATGAAGGCTGAGAGCAGGGATATACCTCTCTGGGGCAGTAAGTGGCATGAAATTAAATTGTATAATACTTGAAGTATGAGGAAAACTTTATGAAATTGAATATGAAGTGTGTGGGACATTAAAGTGTCCAGTGACCTGATAATGTAATGTTTGTTCAAAGCAATCATCTGTACAACAGTCGACCAATGTTGTCTTCCCACTGCAGCAATCAGTGATTTCACACTGCATTATTGTGTAAAAAAAAAAAAAAAAGGTCTCTTCAAAACCTCCATATTTGTATTTGTAATATTTTATGGTTTCTTGTGACTCAATATAGTGGCCATGATAGAGGAAATAAAAACCACAAGTGGTTGGGCAACACTGAGAACTTGGTGGTGGTGTCAGACTTAGTTATATTTTAATTGAGAAATCTTTAGGTTCCAGTGTGAATATAATTGATAATGACCAGTTTGTTTCTGTTCTGCTTTACTTTTAGCTTTGATTAAGTACATCAGGCCGGTGTTTGTATCGCGGTCAGACCAAGACTCCAGAAAGAAAACCGTGGAGGAAATCAGACGCAGAGCTCATTCTGGAGGAGAATGGCCTCAGGTAAGAGGCTTAAAGCAGCTGCAGAATGTGCTGCACATAGACAATAACTTGTTTATTTTTAACAAACTGAGGTGTATTTTAAGATGCATATTTATCAGAATTCAGTCAGATTGTGATTGAAAAACCATTAGTCTCTTATCCTCCTGTTATGTGACTTTTCTTTGAAACTTTTGTATTACAGAATTATTAAACAAATGTTTATTTTTTTCAAATACAACTTCTTGTTGTGTATTACAGTGAAAAACATTGACATTTTAATGTAGTGTTTATATTTGAGAGTGAAACATTTGCTTTCTCCACAGATAATGATTTTTCCAGAGGGAACCTGTACCAATAGATCCTGCTTAATTACCTTTAAACCAGGTAACTAACTCCTCATTACCACAGAGAGGAATAATTACTAAAAAACAATTTAGGTTTGTTTAATATACGTGATTTATTTCTTTAAAGAAAGACAATTAAAATCAGTGCTTTACATTTGTCGTTCTAGGAGCCTTTATTCCAGCTGTGCCAGTGCAGCCTGTGGTGATTCGTTATCCAAATAAACTGGTAAGATGGATATCAGGACATGTTAATAATGTGGGTTATAAGATTATATATATTTTATACCCATCACATTCACCATGACAGGCCATTGCGGCCAATGCTAATGCTTATGACTAAGCTAATGACTGCAACAATGTATTTGAAGAATCATTGTTGTTCAAGGTTTTCTATCTTAATCTAATTCCAATGTAATCTTGTTACGTGGCATGAATAGTCCTTTAAACTGCTTTTTTAATGTCCAAAATGAATCCCAGTGAAAACATGAACCAGTTGTCTGTTTGTAATGCTGTGACATCATTTGGCTTTCACAGGATACGATTACGTGGACATGGCAGGGACCTGGAGCGTAAGAACACTTTTTCATTTCATAGATGTGTATTAGTAGATGTATTTTTTTTATTTTTTATTTAAGAATTCATTTCACTCTCTAATAAAAACCTCACCTGTACCCACTCAAGTAAATGTCAAGAAAACTATCTATACATAGATTCCTAAATTATATCAAAGGTTGTCTTTGTAGTGCGTCATTGTCGCATGCTTGAAATGCTTTAAAATAGTTTCTCCATGGAAACTGCACTTTTCTGATCTCAGACAGAAAATACACTATTATAAAAGTTAGTATAAAAGTTAAGATGCACATAAAGTGCTGTTAGTACACATTCTTTGTTAAGAGTTTATTAAAAGGAAAAAAATACATGTTTCACTGTAGCCATTTCTATGTATGTTTTTATTGTAATTGGTGTTGTTGACGGTTTCTCCTTTTTTGAATTTTTGTCCAGGTTTGAAATCATGTGGCTGACACTCTGCCAACTGCATAATGAGTTTGTGATTGAAGTAAGCATCATTGTTTATCTCCACACTGCATACATTAACATTGGCCAGCTAATAATCACAGAAGGGTTCAATGTATTGGCAAAGGCAAAGTGGAGGAATAGACCATTGTGCCATCTAGTGGTTCATTGTAGTACCAGTTTTTAACAACTGGGTTAAAAAGCCTAGGGCCACTGTCTGGTCCACGGGCCATAGTTTGCCCATGCCTGCTCTAGATTGTATCCCATATCTTTGCATATTGGCGCTTTGGTTTACTTTAATTGTATGAATGGCAATTATGTGTATTTTTTTCTGTAATTCAAGAAAAATGTATCCACACACATTAATAATATTTATATATTTAAATATGTATTCAGTTTCTTCCAGTCTACACACCCTCGGAGGAAGAGAAAAAGAATCCTGCTCTGTTTGCCATCAACGTCAGACGCATCATGGCAAAGTAAGCCTTACTTTGAGTCTTTATTTTTAAATCAGACATGCAAACATTCTCTAGTGTTTTAAGTTAAGTTATTTACTTACATTAAGCATCAAGTTAAATATTCTAAGTCAATTTTTTTTAATAGAATTTTTGTAATCTTGCATTTGTTGTGTGAATGTGTGTGAATCCTAAGGAGAGTTTGTTTTACTTTGCACACTGTGATTATTTATTGTTTCCTCTGTGCTTGCATTCAGAGCCCTGGGCGTTCCCATCACAGACTATTCATTTGAAGACTGCCAGCTGGCCATGGCAGACGGCCAGCTCAGACTGCCAGTCGACACCTGTCTGCTGGAGTTTGCTAAGCTTGTCAGGAGAATGGGGTGAGTCTCTTTAACCTAGCAATGCAATACACCATTACCAACATGAGTGAGGTTTGGGGCCCAAGGAATTTGGGGCTGGGTTGAGATGACTTGTAAAGCATTTAAGGATTGTTTTTTTTTTTGTTTTTTTTTTCTAATTTAGCCTTCACTAGTGCTTATTGTTGGAATTAAAAGTATTAGAACTGACCTAAGAACACGATCCAATGGTAGATCCCTTATTTAAGCCAAACAAGACACACAGCTGCATAAAAAGACCACGTCAATGAAAAAGGGTTAGAAAGAAAGACAAAAGGTTTAAATCTTACACACTGATGTATTCTGAAAATATTCTTTTGTCCACATTTTCATCGGTTTATTTGCAAATATGTGTTCCTCTATCACCACCAGGCTAAAACCAAGAAATACTGAAAAGGTTCTGCAGGAGTATGGGAACAGAGCAAGGACGCTGGAGGGACAGAAACTGGGCCTGGATGACTTTGCGCAGTTTCTTGATGTGCCAGTGTCAGACATGCTGAGAGACATGTTTGCTCTTTTTGATGAGGTGAAGACAGATTTTGTTTTTTAACCTTAACCTTGATGGGTTCAATGACTTTCATGGTGTTTATTCTTTATATTGCAATGTGTTGTTAATGGGAATTTGCTGTCTTAAATATAAATCTCTTTGCAGTCATCAAGTTTTTTGCTCATTTTTCATAGGATAAAGCTGTTTTCTTTTATTTTTCCAGAATGAAAATAACTGCATTGATGTCAGAGAGTACGTGATAGCATTATCTGTCGTATGCAGACCAGCCAAAACTCTGGAAACAATCAAATTAGCCTTCAAGGTATGTTTGTCAGTAGTCAAGACAAAATCAAACTTTGTTTAGCTGAAATACCATTCCAGTGTGTGCTTCAAGTGTCGCCTGTTTGAGTTTCAAAAACTAAAGCACATTATTTGATCTTAGATCCCACAAATTTAGTAAAAAGATTCATAACTGTTAATGGCTCACACAGTTTCCATTTGGGCTTTCATTTTATGTTCTCCAGATGTTTGAGGCTGCAGAGGATGACGCCATCACAGAAACTGAGCTGGCAGTTATCCTGAAGACAGCTCTGGGGGTGACTCACCTCAGCGTCTCTTGTCTGTTTACTGCCATTGACACAGAAGACACAGGGAAGGTTACATTTGGTAAGAAAATGAAACTGAAATGAAAATGAAAAGGTTACATTTGGTAAGAAAATGAAACCTTGGACCGCTGCTTGATGGTCTCTCCCTGATAATAGTCTACTCTCATATCATGTTATCTCGTCATTACAGTAGATGAAAAGAACTATCACTGTAGTGTTAAGTGTGTTGTCTATGGGCACATATTAAATGCGTGTCTCTGTTTGTCTTTGTCTCTGGTGCCCTCTGCTGGTGATTATACAGACATGTTCAGGAGTTTTGTGGACAGGAATCCAGAGTTTGCTGAGGAGTACCTGCACACAGAACCCTCAGACCTGGGTGGCGGGCCCTGCCACCATCATCAAACAAAGTCCAGCCTGTCTTCTCTGACCACACTAGGCACTGCCATCGCCAACCACACTAATGGTTTCTGCCCCGACTTCAGCCCCAACGACCGCGATGCCACAGCCGACGGACTCCTCAAGAAACACAACTAAAGGGGTTTCAAATGTAGTGCAAAGAAGAAAAAAAAAAACCCACTTCTCCTGGTGAGAGGTGGCCGTGTATGGAGTGAAGGGTGAGTTACTTGTCAGTAACTTTAAATAGTGGGCACTACAGTTTAACACCCACATTCCCTAGTAAGTAAAAGTTTACCATGTCCTTTTTTATTCGTATTGTACTCATTAAATTTCTGGGGATCACCTTAAGTTTTAAAATACTTTATTTTGCTAAACTTTTTGTCATAATGCCAAACACTGGTTGTTTCCGCTTCAACGTTTGGATACTTAAAGGGCAAGCACTTACACAGAATGCTGGGGTAAAGACTTGATTATTTCTTTTCCTTTTAACATAACATAGACTGTGCATGCGTTTAAGAAGATGAAAAAGCCAGATACAGTTCAGCAAAATTTTTTGTGAAATCAGTGTTTATTTTTCTTTCCAAGTTGCTTTTTAAATTGTAGCTGCTTTATGTTGGGGCTCAGGCTGGTTGTGAGCAGTATTTAGAGATGTTCTTGGGAACCGGTGAGAATTGTTTCGCCACAACAAGCCCTCCAGCTTTAGTGCGTACATTTGAGGTGAACCAGGATCTCTCTTATTACCAAGAGCCTGTCCTGTAAACATACACATACATATAAAATTATATATTTGATTTTTAAGCTCAGGGTTCAGCAACAAAAATGAAAAAAGAATAATGATGTCTTCATTTTTGATGTGCACTATCAATGCGTGCATGTTTGTTTTTGTCTGACATCAATACAAATCTTCCTGGTCATTACCATCGACATCTTCACCTTTCATGGTGTCTTCAATTCATCAGTACACAATTTGGACCAAAATTGTACCTTTTATAATTTTCTTGGTGCAGGATTTTCTACCTAAATATAGGTTGTTTTTTTTTTTTTGCTCATCCTTTATATTCTAGTTAACAGTTAGCAACCCCCATAGTAAATTTCTCATTTATGTCAAATCTCTATTTACCGGAGAATTACGCTGATGACTCCTCACTATATTGACGTAACGTAATGTGATTGTTAAATTAATTTATACTAATTAATGTTTTGAGAAAAATCTTGGGATATTTGAAATGTGAAGTTCTGAGCTCAGATTTCTAAGTTTGAGTAGTCCTATAGTTATGGATTTAAACGAGCAATTTAACAGATTATGCAGCCTACTAATGTGTTACATTTATTTTGTCTTGAAGAAAACTAATTTGTTTTAACGAAATATTTATCCTGAACATTTAACAAAACACATTTTCAGGTTTCAGCTATATATGCATTGAGTAGCTGCAATTTGCCGCTACTTAAATATTGCTACAGCTGCATCGACCAATAGTGCAACCAAAAATATATAAATAAATAAAACACAGCAGTGTCTCAAACCACTTGGTGGAGCTCGACCTCCCAGTTAACTTCCTCGGAGGTTGTCAACGTGCATAAGTTCAACAACTCATTAGCTTTATGTGCTAATACTGTCGGCGACCACTGCAGAAGTCGGTTCTAATTTGACCACGGCGGTGTCAGCGATGATCAGTGTTGTCCTCGTTAATGAACAGTCTGTGGCACAGACTAAGCAAGTGAGCACATTTTTAAAATAATTATATACACTCATAACGTCAGCCAACGTTGTTTATATAATGAGCATATTTTTTGGCACATTTTCTGTTTATTTTTTATTTCTAAATATGAAAAAAATGACTTCAACAGAGAAGCGAGTTTACGTGTTTAAAGATAATCAAATCTACCGATGTAAAATTGTGGTTCCTGTCTTGCATCATTAATGTTGCTTGCTGAACACTCACAAACAAAGGGTAAAATATTTTTAAAGTAACGCCCCCTGGTGACGGGATAGCGTGCCAACCTGCATTTAAAGCATTTTATCCATGTAATAACAGAAATTGAGTGTTTTCTCTTGTTTTTTGTGTTTTATCCGTGTTATGTTAGTGAGTGTCAAACTTCCAATTTACTTTAACGCACACCTATCCTGGTTATGGCTTTCATCAAAGCAATACTCTACATTTGTTAAACCTTTTCAAGAGGTCTGCTTCAGAAGAATTCTGATATGTATTTTTGAATATTCCAAATGCAGGACATTTTGGAAATTTCTTATTTACATATGTGATTTTTGTTTTTCACTTTTCACTGCCATAACAGATCTGGGATCTCTTCTTCTTCATGTCTTAGTAATAGTGCCTAAATATAGGTTGTTTTTTTTTTTTTCTTTTTCTTTTTTTTTCTTGTTTCTCCTACGCAGTCTATTAAGTTTAATGGTTATAGTACTACCATTAATGCTGATATGACTGCTTAGATGTGTGCAAATGCAGATGTCATATGGAAACCAATAGCCTTGAATCTAATGCTAAAAGAAAACAGAATGTATAGACAATCCTGTCATATTCAGAAGTTACTTAAAAGCACTGATCTCCAGTGGATGTTCTCCCAAACGGTTAAAAACAGAGCAAACAAACAAAAAAAAATCGACACTCTGTCTGGTTAACGCCCTGTACTGGTGTGCATGTATAAGACCTACAGGAGTGTGTTGGCCATGTGTAGCCTCGAGGTGAGGATGTGTCGCCAAATGACAGGCTACACTTCACGGCCATTAAAGACTACACACACACGAACTAACATTTGATAAGTTACAATCTCTTGGTGTTTCTTCCCTTTTTTCGTTCTCTTTTCTATCTTGATGTATTTCTGATTGCACTTTAGATTATTTTTTTAAAGAGATGCCACCTTTCTACAAAGCATGTTGAGTTTGTTGGTTTTTTTTTTTTTTTTTTTTTTTACATGTGCATATTTGTTATAGCAAATCTTTTTGTTTTACCCGTTCTCCTTCGTCTCAGGACCGTGGAAAGTTCAGAGCTTTAAATCGATTTTGTTAACATGTATCACCTGACAACACTGTATGAGATGAAACGACAGAGAAAATGTAAAGAGGGTTTGACGAGGTGGAGAAGAGCGGATAAAGGATAAATGTGAATTTTACAACAGGATGTTAAGTAAGCCAGTCAGCCTTCACGCTGAAGGGACGTTTTGCTGTGTTTGTACAAAAATGGGAAATTTGATTGTAAATTACAGCTGAGATGTGACAATGATACAGCTTCAGTGAATGAACTGAGCCATCGAAGCCCCCATAGTGTTTTTATTTTGTTTGTATGTACATTTTAAAAATTAATTAACCTGCAAATATACATTTATATATTCAGTATTTACCTGGAACAAGTCTGCACAGGGGGCTCAGCAGGGGTGGGGGGGCGTTACATGGAGATACTGGGTCAACTTGTTTTTCAAATCTAACTTTGACTTCCTTTTATTTGAAATACCTCAGTAGAGGAGGGTATCGGTCGCTCTGTCCTTTGACTCTGAAAAATGTTAATGTGCTCATAAAGAACTTGTTTGTTTCTGCTGTCTCTGCCTGCCTTTCACCACCATTCTGTCCAGCCGCGAGCCTAAGACGAAAGACTTGTGTTCTCTGACCGAGTGATTGTCTTTCTGACGGCTCCCGTCACGTGGACCGGGGAAACTGATCTGTTTTCTCTGTAGTTTGAATTTCCTTCCTTTTTCTATATTCTACAGGTTCTATTTTATTAATGCATTTTGATGACCAAGAGTCGTTACTGCAAGCTCCTTTGAATTTGTCTGTTTTTGGACTGCTATGATATAACTTGTTAATGTGACTCTTGAATAAAAAATGGAACTTTACTACAAAGATGGGTTTGGTCACATCCATGGGGTTTTTTTTTATAGTATAGACCAGTGGTTCTTAAAGACTGGGTCACAGCCCTCAGGTAGGTCGCAAGAGATTTTGGGGGGGGGCATCTTGCATCATGTTCAGCAGTGTTGTCTACCTTTGGTGTGTTGGGCTGGTATGTCTTTTGTATGACAGATCTGGTGTATTTCAGCTCCAGCTAGTACCAACCTGTAGTATGGCGAGTATTGTTTTTATACTCAAACCTCTCACCAAGTGATCTGCTACTTTTGGCCTGTTCAACCTTACCTTCCCTTTGTCCCAGCTTTTTTGAAGGTGTTTGATCAATTTTATATATTTGCGTGAAAGATTTCAGAATAAACGTTACTTAGCCCTTTCAGGTTTTCCTCCTCACCCTTTCTTCACACACGCTCCTCCTCGACTCCTGACCCTCTGCACCTTCTGCCTCTCCGTCTGGGTCTCAGCTGTTGCTTTATGAAAAACAAGACACTCGATTATGGGGAACCTCACACATCCACCGCGGCTCACATTGAGCCAACGATTTCTGTTATGAGACCTGAGGCTTGACAGATGATTGCACTTTGTGACCGTTGGCTGTGTGTGGTGGTGGCGGCGATGCTGAAGTTAGTGCTATGGATTAGTGGCTGATTGATCATAATGATTGGCTGGCAAACAATAAGCTGTCTTTCTGGACATGATCCTCATAAATCTGTCCGTGGGGAGCGGGCTGATTGTGTTATTTGAGGCCCTGGTGCTGCTGAGGTCGGGTGTGAAATGGTAGAGGTCTGGTTTAGACCTGTTGAACACTAACAGATAATGAGATTTTTTTGGTGGGTCATTGGGTTCCATCCATGAGAAAGTAGAAAAACAAATCACCAAAAAACAGGTGTTACATTTTGACATTTTGTCATCGTCTTCATTGGTTTGAGCTGGTTGACACTGACCTCTGCCGAGGATGACCAGGAATTAGCATTAGCATTAGCACTATCAGTTGAATGATGCATTGCTGTTTTTTTTTTGTCACCAGACTGTTATTATGATAAAGTTAACCCATAAAAATATTGATTGCACCATTTTTGGCTCATGTAAGTATCTTTAATTATTTTATAATAAGCATTTTTTATAATATATTTTCCCATGTAAACAGAGATCTTCTAACAACATAATATTTATATTTATAATAATTTTGATATTACACACAAGTAAAATAATTGTAATTAAATATTAAGTTTTTTGACTAAATATCTTTTCTTACTATATAAGTTTTGTGTTGATGCTCACTCCAGTAATTCTGTTTCTCCTCATATTTTAACTGACTTTGAATATTTGTCACGTTTTTACTTCATGAAATAATGCTGTTGATGAAGATGACCCTGGCGGAAATAAAAGACTAGAGTCTTTATATAATATATATATATATATATGTGTGTGTGTGTGTGTTTCTCTTAAAAACACACATCTGTGTTAAAAAAAAAATCAGGTGAGAAAATTATGGGAAAGATGAGCAGACGAACATGTAGCTGGGAGATGAGAGAGGGAGGGAGGGAGGGAAGGAGGAGAGTGACGTTGATGTTGAGAGGGTGGGGGTGTCGTTGATGGTTGCTCATATTTGAAAAGTGGTCCCGCAGACGGACCACCATAGCAGTCCACAGAGAACTCTCTGTGTGTCTGTCAGCAGAGAGTCCACAGGTGTTTTTATTCCGACCTGATCTGATTTTATATATATTTTAAAAAAATCGAATCTGTCAAAAACAAGCTCGTTTTTGTTGTAGATTTTCTGCTCTAGTGTGCTCAGGTTTTCTTTGCAACAGCAGAAACGTCAGTACAACTGGATTTAAGTCTTTTCATGTGGGAACTCAAGAGATTTTCACTGTCAACTTTGAAGGTGAGTGTGTACAATTTTTAATAATTATATTTCTTTAAAATTAAATTGTACTGATTTTATACACACACATATTAAATGTATTTAAGTTTTATAGTGATTTAAAAGTTAATTTTCAGTACATGAAAATGAGTGAATTCATATTCATTTAATTTTTTTGCCAGATAAAGGGGCATTTCTTCTTAATACATCCATGAATATGGACTGACACTGTTTTTTAATAGCTCATTGGTGAAACTAAATAATCAATGTAAGTCAAATTAACTTTTATTAGGTTCATTTTTATTCATTTCAAATTTAATGTGAATAATGTAAAAGGCACCATCCAATTTAAATCTGCTGCGTGATATGTTGTTTAAACTATGATTGTAATCCTGAGAGCAAAATGGCGATCAACAAGTGTACATGAAACGAGCCTCCAGTGAACATTCTGCAGAAACACTCTCCCAGCTCTCTTATTAAAACGTCCATAAATGAATAACTGTTCATTCAGATTTTGAATACAAAAAAAGAATAAAAAATAATATTTTGCATTTTTAAGTATTTTTAAAGGTTTGACTCCTACATGGAAACTGACTGTTGATTGTGTTTGCAGATTTCTCACCCCTGTCTTGTCTGACGACTGTAACGGCGTCCCTCACCTCAAGACCGTATACCACTCCATGCTGTTGAAGAGCAAATCTCAGTCGGCCTCATGTCCTCCGTCGTAGCTCCAGAGATAAACTCTCCAAACACAATGGGTCCCAAGGAGGTCAGTGTGAATCGGATATAAGTTGTGGATTACTCTGATATTATAAATAATGTCTCACTGGAATACTGTGTCACATGGATAAATATGAATTCAAATTAAAAATGTTATTTTATTTAATTTAATTGGGGAAATGGAATACTGGAATCATGATGTCTTATGGTTGCAAGTAAAATACGCTGATTAAACAACTATCTGTATCAGGGACTCAAATCCCTGGTTCGCGGGCCACTTCCGACCCTCAAATCCTGCACCAATAACTAGATGTCGATAAAAAATAATTTAATTTTGTCCTTGAGTTAACTTAATATTTAGTTTCAGTGATATTATTTCCCATGTTGACATGTTGATGATTTGTTATTAAACTTAGAACACTGATGTGGTCGCCTTTTTTAGGCGACCACATCAGTGTTCCAAGATGACGGCAGTGGCCCTCAGGTTGTTTCTGATCTGTATATAAAGTGGAACCTCTCACTACACTCAGGTGGAGCTGATCCTTGTGAAGGAACAAAATGGGGTCCAGTTCACATCGACCACCTTAGTGGCTCCCACTCCAACTCAGATCACCCTGGCTGGGGAGGAAGAGCGAGAGACCTGGGGAAAGAAAATCGACTTCCTCTTGTCTGTCATTGGGTTCGCGGTGGACCTCGCCAACGTCTGGAGGTTTCCCTACCTCTGCTACAAGAACGGAGGGGGTGAGGAGGGGGTTGGGAGGGTTGCCTCATCATGCTGCTGGGAAATTCAGGAAGTGGAGTTAGAAAGAGAAAACATCTGTGTCCTAGAAAGAAAATTCCGAATATTGTGTTTATTTCTGATAATAGTGGTAAGAAGTGAAAAGTGAAGGGAATTTAAATGTATTTACATGCAAATATACAGCTGCGTGGAGCTGCTCTGAAAAGACTGGATCAAACAGTCACATCAGACTCATACATTTTCAAGCTGTTTATTTGTAGTTATTACTGGGGTTAAGACTGAAATCCAACACGACGTCTTGTGTTTAAGACAAATCCTTAACATGATCAGTTTGATGAAGTCAGTTTGAGTCAACGATCTGGGTTAAAATTATGTCATATAAGTCAAATCATCTTCTTAATAAGAAACATACGTAGATTTTTTTTAACTACTTGGCTACTTCATTTAGTGTGTGTACTGGTCGGTGTGTTTTTGCAGGTGCGTTCCTGGTGCCTTACCTCTTCTTCATGGTGATAGCAGGCATGCCGCTCTTCTATATGGAGCTGGCCCTGGGACAGTACAATAGAGAGGGCGCTGCAGGGGTGTGGAAGATCTGTCCTATATTTAAAGGTAGGAGAAAGATGCTTCTTCACGGGAGACGTACTTTAATCTCGTATACCATATGAGACGGACTGGTGCCCACGCCTCCTGACTGCTGATGCATGTGCACATCCAAATGCTATGTCTCCACACCTGCATGGTTTTACAGTAAAAACACCTGTTCTTGGCATAACATGCAGTCTCTCTCATTCTCTCTCTATCACTCTCTCACTCCCTCTCTCCTCCATCTGCTCATCTTTCTGATAATGTTCTTTCTTTTAACATGAATTTCTCTCCGCCTATTTGTCTGCCCACATGCCTGTCTGTCCACGTGCCAATCTCTTTTGTCCGCTTGTCTTCGTGTTGAGCAGCGGCGGGCGTAGTTCATTACATACAGAACATCTGTGGTTCTGCTGGCACTCAGTCCAAAGCAAATAAAAACTGAGCATGTTAATCAAAAGACTTGGAGACACAGACACCAGTTTACATCCTGTATTATCATGTGGTGAAAATATGCTGGAAAACCTCTCACTTTCAAGATGCTCTAGAACAGGGTGTCAAACTCATTTTCACCGGGGGCCACATCAGCAATACAGTTCCCCTTTGTAAATGGAAAACTGTATAGATCAGAGGTCCCCAATCCCCAGTCCGTGGACCAGTACCAGTCCATAGGTCATTTGGTACCGGCCTGCAGTGGGACACAGTGAAAAAAAAACAACATAATTTTTACTAATTTACTTCATTCAAAGAAAATCCACTTATGTACTTTTACGTTCTTTGTTTAAAGATAATCTGGCAATATTTTAAAAATATATTGTCATTCAGACTCTGATACAAACAGAATAGAGTCTCAAAGATGTTTTATCGGTTCACACAAAACGACTTGGCGAGCCGCATTTGGCCCCCGGGCCTTGAGTTTGACACGTGCTTGAGAAATACAGTGTCAAATACTGATTTGTTCAGCAGACAGCTGATTGGCTACATGGCACAAAAATTCTCTTTGCTGGTCTGAAGGTGTCCCAGAGTGTAAATGCTGCCCAATATTTTGCAGTATGTGTGTGTGTGTGTGTGTGTGTGTCATCCTCTTGTGTGTGAACATGTGCCGTCTGTCAGGGACCCACACTGAGACGGTTGACGTTCTAATCACACACTTCACACTTTCTCTGCCTCTCAGCAGGAGGAATAACAGTAATTATTCAAACACACACACACACACACACACACACACACACGCACGCACGTCCTCGTATTGACAGTAATTATTCTGATCAACAAGCTGGTTTCCTCTCAGGATCAATGCATCTGAAGAAAAGCACTGTGAATGAGAGACACAGGCAGATGGAGCGATAGCCGAGCCTCATGCCGCGCTAATAAGAGGCATCGCTCCCTGCACAAATATCACATCCACATCACAGAGGAGTCGATATGGCATCGTCGTGGTCAAGCCTGTTAGCAAAGGTTAACAATTAAATTCATCGTCAGAAGATCAGAGTGAAAGAAAGGCCAGATGTTCTGATAATGAAAGCGTGAAATGACATTCTGCAGAAGTTTTGCTCGTGTAACATTTGGTCAGTGACGGACAAATCCAGCTGCAGGATGAAGTCACTGTGTAGTAAAGCCAAGTTGCTCCATATGTAAACAACATAAATGAGTGTGGTTCCTGCTGGTAAATACAACTGTCATTCTGAAAGAGTGCAGATCAACACAGATGTGAGTGTTAGAATTATATCCACCACATAGACATTTTTACTCATCTTTTGTTCAGTGATGTCCCTAATCAACTCAGGGGCCGAGGGGCCCACAGTAGTGATTATCAACTGGCGGCCCATGGGCTGAATCTGGCCCGTTGAACCGTCCATTACTATAAACCAGTATAAACATCAAATAATAATGTAAAAGAAAAACCAGATGTTTTCTTCTTTTTTTTGTTCAGCCCCTCATATGTCTGTTCAGAAACTTCCTGTCCCTGATACGCTAAGTCTATAGCTGGTGACTCGTAGCCAGTATGGAGGTCACCAACTATACCTTAAATCCTATCATTTGGTTAATCACCCATTTCTTATCCTTGTCTGTTGCCTACCACTTTTCATTATACTACAGGTTCCCAAAATGAGGGGCAGTTTTAACAGTGTTATATTAGGAGAAAGTGCCATGATCATAAAAGTAGTTATGTAGGAATTATCACACTGTCAACCTGAAACCATGCAGTAGTCGTTTGTTTGAGCTCTTGAGTCGATTCCCATTTTGTTCCCAGGTGTGGGCTTCACTGTCATCCTCATTTCTCTCTACGTCGGTTTCTACTACAACGTCATCATCTCCTGGGCGCTGTTTTACCTGTTCTCCTCCTTCACTCATGAGTTACCCTGGGTGCACTGCAACAACAGCTGGAACAGTCCCAACTGTTCAGTCTGGGCTGACAACAGTTCAGTCAGTGACATCTACAAGGCCACACCTGCTCAGGAGTACTTTGAGTAAGTAGAACACTTACTAAGAGTAAGTGTTTTTTTTTTATTTTTTAGTATATTAGTTTTACAATATTAGTTTCCAGTTTATATATTTATACACCCCTCAGCCTTTAATAATATCTTAATGTCTAATGTTCTAAACAGTTTGTTATATTTTCCTGTAAATAATTCCAGAGTTTGTCAGTTTTGCTGTGACTCTGCCTGTGCTGTGACCAGGTGTCCCCTGGCGACGCATTGAAATGGCAGCGCGCTATTTTTGCAGAAGCACCTGCAGGCGATTTGACCGACTGATGAACATAAGAGTGTTCTCTTACCTCCAAAATTATATGAATTAAAACGTCAACATTCAGTGGAGATATAATCTTTCAGGTGACAGGAGATTTCAAAGCTCCTGCTCTTTTATTACCAGCACAGATTGAGTTGAACCCACGTTCAGTGCGTTGGTGAGGCGTTGCGGCTACTGTAGGAAGTGGTGAATAATGTTCTGCATGGCCTCTAGAGTTGATTTTTTTTTTAAATATTTTGTATGTGTCTTTCCTTCAGTCGAGGGGTTCTCCACATCCAGGAGAGTAACGGTATTGACAACATCGGTCCCCCCCGCTGGCAGTTGACTTGCTGTCTGGCTGTCGTGATTGTTCTCCTCTACTTCAGTCTCTGGAAAGGAGTCAAGACCTCTGGCAAGGTGGGAGGTTATGATTCAAAGTCGAATAATCCACATGCTAAAATCAAGAGAACCCCATGACTGCATGTACAGTGTGTCCTGTTATCATGTTGATCAACAACCACTGGATCTCAACCTGAAGGCCATGTGTAACACATGTCATCCTTTCAGGTTGTGTGGATCACAGCCACCATGCCCTACGTTGTCCTGACTGTGCTGCTGATCCGGGGAGTCACTCTGCCTGGAGCCATCGATGGCATTAAAGCTTACCTCTCTGTGGACTTCCTGAGACTCTGTGAAGCCCAGGTAAAAGAGAGAGGGAGGGGCAGAAAGAGTGGTGGTGGTATAAAACCAAGGGGCTGAAGTCGTCTCCAAACATTCATGGTTATAAATGATCACCTACTGCTGAAGAAGTAAAAAACTATTTCATAAACCTATGGCTGTTCTATATACTACAGTAAAGCCCCAAAATGCTGCTTCTACTCTGGCATAGTTACAAAGATCAGGCCATATATTACCTAAGTTTCAGTCTCGTTTTTTTTTTACTACTCAACACAATATATGCATATACATATTATATTACATTAGATTATATTACATTACATTATACTATGATATATTATTAACAACAGCACTGTGTTCAGTGTGTATTCAGTGCAGCTTATAGTGGCTGTGGCTAATATGTTAATGTGAGCCCTTGAAGTAAAGGATGGCGTTGTGGCTCAGAAACTGTGCACTTTTATTCTTACAGTTTTCTTGCATGTATTAAGGTGACAAACAAATATTACTGCCAGTTGTTCATATTTCCAATAACTCCTAAGATTCGATAACATGTCTCTATGGTCAAATCTTGATGTTTATTCAAACAGTGAATTACTCTGTGGTCCAGCCTCCTAACAGACATCTGAGAGACGTTGGTAAATGGAGCTGGTGATGAATGATAACAAGGAGGGATTCCCTCCTGATATCTGTGACCATCATGTTAGCACTACTTGTCCCTGTAATTTTCTCTTTTCTGCGACATCCACAACAAATCACAACAAAATCCTTCCGTGCATTTATAGGCACTCGGAGAGCAACGCTTAAACATGCAGCACCAAAAAAGGGCAGTTATGCTGAAGAACCAACAGGGGCAAGAAGGGGAGATATACAGAAAGATGCATGACAGCATTTGGAGAAATAAATTAGATAGATGCATGGAGCAGTAATTTGCAAAATTACCCCCCGTATTCACGAGCGTCTTTCATCTACTACCGTTGAATGAGTTTCCTGCAATTATCCCTAATAATGGCTTTTTTCCTCTCCGTGCCTTTTGTTTGCCGCTTCACACGAGTGTGCTTGTTCTATCGCTCCCCAGGTCTGGATAGAAGCAGCGACGCAGATCTGTTTCTCTCTGGGAGTGGGGTTTGGTGTGCTAATTGCCTTCTCCAGCTACAACAAATTCAGCAACAACTGTTACAGGTAAGGACACAGGCGCAGAGCACGGAGCACCAGGCGTGGCTTTTACTCACATGTTCACACAAACACACACAAACGGGGTAAAGGCAGATAATAATAATAAAATTACCTTTGAAGCTCCGTGAAACCCATGACGTTTTTGGGTTTCCATGTGCAACAGCCAGTTATAGCTGTGGTAAATTACTATTATCTCCAATGAGACGTTATTATTTTCCTCTTTGCTGATGCTTCCGGTTTAACATGCCATCATCTAACTTGACATTTTTTCTCAATTATTTTTAGGGCATTCATATAATAAATCTATTAATTCTGTTATTTCTAAAAGGTTGGCAATTTACTTAATGAGATTGAATAAAAAAATAATCTAAAAGGTCCTTTAACAAATCAATTTCTACAGTACAGCATGTGAACATTGAAAGTAAAGAATTGTTAATAAAAGGAGAAACTTGTCTTTAAATTTAGTAACAATTCGAGATAAAAGATAGGTCAGTTAGTGAACTCCTGTGCCACTCTGTGTGTCCAGCCCTCATTAAACCTTCAGTATGAGGTGAGTGTGTAAATTCTTCATTCCTGACGTTCTCTCCTCCCTCTGGTTTGATTGTATCCACACAGAGATGCCATCATCACCACCTCCATCAACTCCTTAACCAGCTTCTTTTCCGGCTTTGTGGTTTTCTCCTTCCTTGGATACATGTCCTTTAAACACAAGGTGCCCCTGGACAAAGTGGCCAGAGACGGTACTGCAGTTTTATTTCAACCCATTTTCCCATTGTTACATAAATAAAAAAAAATTAAAAATAATTTGCTATACGCCCTTTTTGGGGTCCCACCCTCCACTTTGAGAACCTCTGCATCAGAAAAGCTTAAAATATTAACCAGCACTGACTCTTATGTCTTGTTCTTCAGGTGCCGGGCTGGTATTTGTCATTTACCCAGAAGCAATTGCAACACTACCTGGGTCGTCAGTGTGGGCAGTCATCTTTTTCATCATGTTACTGACCCTGGGCATTGACAGTGCTGTGAGTATACGTGTCCATGTGTCCACTGTAGCATCGCCTACCCTGACTTTACTGAGCTCTTACTGACTGTTTGCTCTCTGTCCATTTGTAGATGGGTGGCATGGAGTCAGTGATCACCGGACTGATTGATGAATTTAAACTGCTCCACAAGCACAGAGAACTCTTTACCCTCTTCATTGTGGTGGCCACTTTCCTCATATCTCTGTTCTGTGTTACAAATGTTAGTATCACTCTTCTGGGGTGGGGTGTCTTGTTGATCTCATCCATGTGGTTTTTATCAATGTCCATTATTATGTTTACTAAAATGAACCTAATGTTTAGAATTTCATCCATAACGAAGCCTTCAATAACACTTTTCTGCCTTCGTTCAATAGGGAGGGATGTATGTGTTTACTCTGCTGGACCACTTTGCAGCAGGGACATCAATTCTCTTTGGAGTGCTTATTGAAGCCATCGGCATCGCGTGGTTCTACGGTGAGAAAGATGGACGAGTCAGGTCTTCATGGCCAACAGAGCTGCTGCTGAATTAGCAGCGTGATGAAAAATCTGCTGGTATCGGTCGTCTGTGCCTCGCCACGGCATATTTCTATTAGACAAAAGGAAACCTCTGTTACAGCTTTTATTTCCAATTATGGTTTCGACCTCTTCAGTCTTTTCTTATATCCCTTTCCTTAGGATTCACACACTGGTCATGTTTTTTTTTTTTTTGAAAGAGCTTTGAAGTAAAAGCTCAAGTTAAGGCTGTGACCCGGCCACTGCCTCTTGGACATTAATTCAACAGTGGGGAATCACCATTTAAAGAAATTGCAGCTGGGAATCAGACCCTTCCCACTTATCATGGACAGCAGACAGCTGTCTAATAGCTAGATTGCACCATGTTGTGGGTGGAAAATGGGGGGGTGACCTTAAACGGTGTCTCTCCAGATGTCCACAATCTTCCGACACTGTAGTTTACATTCCTTCTCCTTTATCTACGCAGTTTATTTTAAACAATAACCTCCCACATATTGTGTCCCTGAATATTACGGTGCATCTGTGTGAGAGTTAATATAACCTCAAGTGTGAAATGATTCATGTGATTCATAACTTTTTTAATAATACTCAAACTCTGTCAGTATTAAGGATTTATTGCCCACAATATCAAATATCAGAGTCTCTCTGTGGGACTGTAGCCACGGAGGGGTTTAATATTAATGACAAAATACGGATATATTAAACGTTCCGGGTTTGCTGTGCAGATTAGTGACCTCTCGTGGTCTTTTTGACGCAGTGCAGCAACGGGTACCCAGTTTGAAAATTTCTACGCTCTTCAACTTAACAGTTTTCGGGTTTCGATAAGGACATAAAGGGGTGAAGATTGTAATTTTCAATGGTAAGAAATTAGCTTTTAAAGCCAAGCTAAAGATATCCGTATTTGAAATATATAGCTCAGTTATTCTGATCGTCCACATTAATCTAAATGGGTTCCGGCTCCAGGCAGTGTGGGTCAGCATACTGGTCCGCTCCAGTGGGTTGTGACCTTGGCAAGTCAAATAAATCAAGCCCAAGGCTCCGATGGGCCTTTCCCTTCCTGCTGCTGTCAGACCTTTGACCCCTCACCACTGTCTGTGTATGCTAAATAAGTAGACTTTTAGGCTATTATCAAAAAATATCTGTCAGTGTGAATTTATTGTATTTTACATGCTCTCCATGCAAAACGTATTTTTTTCCTCAAATGTTAAAAAGCAATTGATCAAATTATTCTGTGGTTCACATTCTGTCTTGAAGGAGTCGATCGCTTCAGTGATGATATCGAAGAGATGATTGGCCACCGGCCCGGCAGATACTGGAGGCTGTGCTGGAAGTTTGTCAGCCCCTGCTTCCTTCTGGTGAGCTTGTTGAACTACCACTGAGCTCTTACTCACTGATTTGACCTTTGAACCTCAGGAATCTGTCACATACAATTTGTCTTTTGACAAAATGTGACATATAAAGCATCTTCCCTCTGAGCATGTGGGCCACCTCTGGCAATAATGCAGCACTGCAGGCATTCGTGAAGCCCAAACAAATGGAGTTTGTTCTTATTGGTTTGTATTTTTGTATTTTTTTGTTTTCCACAGTACATGGTGGTGGTGAGCTTTACCAAGTTCAACCCTCCAAAATATGGCACCTACGTGTTTCCTCCCTGGGCTAACACAGTGGGGTGGTGTCTGGCCATGTCGTCCATGGCCATGGTGCCTCTGTATGCCATCTACAAACTCTGCATACTGCCGGGAAAGTTCTGCAATGTAAGTCTGGCTGAATGATAAATTCTCCTCAGTGCTGTGTTCTGCTGGAGGAGGAGCAGCTACATAACTGCTCTTCTCCTTTTGTAACATTTTCCTTCCTGACAGAGGCTGGCTTACGCCATCACCCCAGAGACTGAGCACCATTTGGTAGACAACGGGGAGGTTCGACAGTTCACTGTAAGTCTTGACCTGATTTATTTTCATACACATAATCACAAAATATAAAAAATATTATTATTATTATTACTAACTAACAACATTTTACCTAATTTATTTAATGTAAAAAATGAATCCCGACAAAGAGTGTTTGATTAACTATTAATGTGATAATATGATTAAAAAAGATCTTATATCTTTTGTCAATTACAAAAAGTCATTTGTGTTGCACTTGAATTTAATAAGAGTACTAACTATATATTTATATATATACATAAATACATATACTTTATTAAATTAAAAATTAGAACTGAACTATATTTTTAAATTTCACTGTATAATTCTGTCTCTCCCACAGCTTCATCACTGGTTGGTGGTCTGAGAGCTAAAGAGAAACAAAGATTGGTAGGTGGGGGGGAGAGAGAGTAGGTAGGGAGTTAAAAAAAAAAAAGAATATTTGATGACTGGTGCACAAGCAGCCAAGGCCCGGGGAACTAAAAAAAAAAAAAAAAAAAGCAGAAAAATAGCCATTCAACTCCATGACTGTAGCAGAGGTACAGTTTAAAAAGTGTAGTGTTCTTTCTTTCCACGGTGGCTGTGTGAAGCTGTGCACTGTTATGTTGACACTGGTGAATGGGATTCAGTCAAACAGGTCACACAGGTGCTCAGCTTTTTATTGTTTTTATAACCATAAGATAAAATGTGCAACATGTAGCCAACCTTCACTCTGAACCTGTCACAGTGTAACTAAACTAAACTTTAGGTGTTCTTGCTGATTTTATTGCAATGTTGATTGAAGTTCAAAGGTCACGGTTAGAGTAAATCTCAATAATGAATGTTAAGAGGCGCTACATACATCAATGCAGGGAAATTACACTTACATTTAATCAGTGGGAAGACGCAAAATGTTGGTAGACACATTTAGTACAACAGACAAACATGAACCAGTTTCACTGAATTCCACTCCAGTCACAGATATGTCATTATTCACAGGGACTTTCTCTCTTAAAGACTGTTAAAATATTACGTAATGGCAGACCTCGCAAAAAGAAATGTTTACATCCAAATAGTTCACAGCATAGACCAACCAGTTTATCAGTAGACCAAAATGACATCATCGGAGTCGGCGTATCTCTATAAGGCAGGGGTGTCAAACATATGGCCCGCGGGCCAAAAATCGGCCTGCTAGGTGGTTCAATCCGGCCCGATTGATGAATTTTGAATGTAAAAAAATGCACAAACACTTCACGTCCTATTCTTTTTCAATTATATTTCATTAACTATGAATATTTTCTAATATACCTATATTTCAGCCTACCTATATTTTTGCATGAAAACAACTTAGAAAATTATGGACTTATTGTTACTTATAGGTAATTTTTGATATACTTGTACTGGTCCGGCCCACTTGACATCTAATCAGGCTGTATGTGGCCCCTGAACCAAAATGAGTTTGACATCCCTGCTCTTAGGGAACACAGTCTGGATCTGTCTGTTACTTTCACAAGCACAAAGGAATCCTCCAGAAACAAACAAAATCGATGGTCTGATATTGAAGTCTCATCCTCTCACTGCGTTCCTCCTGATAGTTTTCTTGGCTGGACGTGGAACAGGGCACACACTCTCACACACACACACGTACGTCACTATCAGGTATTGATTTAAATGAAGCTCACACTGTCACATTTATTTTTCACTTCACCAAGCATAAAGCTTTAACTTTACTGTTTACAGAACCACTTTTACCAGACTGTTTAAGAAGCTGCTTTTATTGAGCTGCATTGAATAGCGTGTAGTGTAAGATGACGTTGCATCAGTTTTACAAGTATATCTGTCTGTATCCTATTGTAATGTAAGATTTTAAATGACAAAATCAAAAAAATTATGACTAAAAATCTCTCTTTTTTTCAGTCACTAGGGAAAGTAGACTTTAAAATGATGTTGATAAAAGCCTTAAGCTGATTGTTATTATTATTATTGCATCAGAGGCGGTTCAGACCAGTCACCAGTGACTGGCACTCACATGTGACAAACTCAAGAGTATATTTTATTTCCAAACTGTATGCCTGTGCTACTGTAACGTGCCTTGTGGTGTTTCCGACCGTATAAGACTTTGGTTTGTACTGTCAAATAAAGTCAAGTTCATTTAATTATAACATTTTATGTCACAGTTTTGTTTTAAAAATTAAGCAGATTTACACTGGTTGACATTAACAAAGTGTTTTAAATCGTGATGTGTGCTGCAGTCATAACCCCATGAGGAGAAGACTGCCTGTAATTGTTGTCTTCTCAGATTGGTCAGCATGACCCTGAGTCAACCTGGTTCATTACAGTAACCATGGAGTCAAAACATACTGATCCAAAAATCACACCCTGACAGGAGCGACCCACATCCACAGCAAACAACATTTGAGGAAGATTACCACCTGATGATATTGATCAGTGTGATCAAATCAATGGGTGGTCTGACCAACACACTTCAGCTAGACCATTATGTGGCCTTTACACTATTGACTCATTGCAAGAGCAACATTTCAAATTAAATTCAGAACAAAACAAAATGTGAATTAATGTCAATGTTGACAAATGTCAACCTCAAAAAAGTCTGTAAAAGTTTTGAAAACCACACAATCACCACAATATTCTGCCTGCTCAGTGACCATGTCCAGTGTGTGCAGTATATTTCTGTTTCTACAAAGAAATTCATCAAGATTAATATTAAACAATTAAAAAAACATTTAAAATGCAAACTTGGAATAATGCTATTGGAAGCTAATGAAAAACAGTAGTTCGTAACAAAAAATGATGGTGGGGAAAGGAGGTAAATAGTTAAAATTTATGTAATATGTTCATGATCAGTTACACACAAGTGTTACAAATGACATGTTCTGTTTCGTTTTGTTTTGTTTTGTTTTTTGTTACACCTTTGGAGAGCTCAGAGAAGAAATTATTTGGTGCGCACTGCCGCCTATTGGTGAATTTAGGAAACCACAACAGAAAGATCTCGGGAGGGCAATTATCACCATCAGTGCAGCTGAAGTGTTAATTCAAACCCCTGGGTGTTTGAGTTCGAACATAGAAATAACATGAAATATGAAGCACTGATAAAGTCTTGAGGTGTGAATAAATATGAATGGGTTCAATGATCAACATCACTACATTAATATCCATCACTTTACTTTCATATAGATTCCTTCCATTTTAATTCTAATTTTAAAACTGTAAACTCCTTTGAGTCAGATGTGTTTTGTGGATATGGGCTATTGTCTATCAAAATAACACATTACGGGACCACAACAAAAACAAAACAAAATGTATGTACAATAAACCTATTCAAAATTATTTATATATTCTCACACAATGAGTTCGAGTCCACCAGCTGCTGAATTACCACCGAGGTGACTGAGTGTTGCACCATCCCCACACACTGCTCCCTTGAGCTGCCCCCCTCACGTTGGTGAAGGGTAAAATGCCGAGGTCACATTTGGTTGTGTGCAGTGTTGTGCTGTGTCACAGTGACAAGTAGTTCACTTTCCTTCTTCACTGGTCCACCCATGTTGACATTCATCAGGGCGATGGTGTTAGTCTGCATTTCCTGTCAATATATCCAACAACTTCACATCCAACATGTAAACAGCTACAGGAAACCAGACCTAAGACCTAGACTATTACTATTATGTCTGCTTGTGTTTGAAGCTGGAGCCAATCTTTGCAGTCACATTGTGGAATACTGCCGTCCTTTATGGTCATTTCAGGAATGTGAAGGAAGCAAACTTACCCATAGAATACAGTTTATCGACATATTTTTGTAAAGTTGCTGCTGTTTCCCAGTTCATTCTACATTCATCTGTATGCTGCTATCATTTAATTTAATGTATTTATGGTGAACTACATTAGATTAAAGGCCATTGAACATTCTGTAAATGCATTTGTGCACAATATTTTGTGTATGCTGCTTTAATAAAAACAGCCATAGATTCCACAGACATTAGCATAAATAGGCTCCACTTGACAGTAATTAGGAAAGGACACAGAGAACAGCTCTCCCTGTTATGGTGCAACACAAAACAAACATGTTTTTTGTTCTACTTTCAGCCGCAGCAGCCCGGGTTTTCACTCGGTCTCTTGGTGCCTAATTAACTGGCCCGGCTGTTGGAGAGTTCATTATCAATTCTGCTGGAACAAAAAAAAAAAAAAAAAAACGCTCGAAGCACATTGTGTGTTTTGGAGAGATGTAATGATGAAGTCTTTGTGAAAGTGATTTGATTTTAGGAATATTTCTCCCTCCCTCTCTCCTGGGATCATGATCGCCTCGTTCACCTGCTGATTACAGCAGCAGTCAGGTCCCTGGTAATCGGTGTGGAGAACAGCGGCGTGTTCCCATAGATACATCCCAACAGATGGGTTCTCATGACGCGCAGCATGCATCGTGGGGAAACAAACTCGTTTGGCTCCTCACCGCCACCTGCTGTGTGGCGCAGCACGCAACGCGGATAACTCTGCACCGGCTCCTCCTGCAGGAGCAGAGTGGACTTTAGCAGCGCGTGGAGAGTTGACATCTGTGACTCCGGGTCAGTCGTTTCACTTCCATTCATTCATTCATTCATTCATTTTTGCACCAGGAACCTCGCGAAGCTTCAACTTATTTGTAAACACAAAATTACCGACTTCCAGAAACAGCTGTGCGCCGCGCTCTGCTCCAGTCGCCCCCACTTCCCCCCAAACATTTGAGCAGCATGGATCAGCGCTGATGTCATTAAAATGGCCTGTGAGCTTCTGACTCGGACCTGGGATCAACCTGTTGTCAGTGCATAATTTCTTCGTGTTCAATGTGCGGCGATGGCTTCGGAAAAGCCCAACTTTCTGTCGCAGCCGGTGGTGAAGAACGTGTTCATGTTCCGTAATGGAGATCCGTACTACGAGGCTCGTCGGATCGTGATAAACCAGAAGAGAGTGTCCAACTTTGAGACTCTGCTGAGAGAGGTGACCGGTGGGATACAAGCTCCGTTTGGAGCCGTGAGGAACATCTACACCCCCAGAGGAGGCCACAAGGTGGACTCCATGGAGGGTCTGCAGAGCGGGGAGCAGTATGTGGCTGCAGGGAGGGAGAGGTTCAAGAAGCTGGAGTAAGACTGAATTAATATTTCTGTATTGATTACTACTACTACTCTGAAGTATTTGGAATGTTACACACAGTTGTTTCAGAAACTGTTCTGTAGGACCAGGTGACCAGTTCTTGGTTTGAAACCGTGTGTGACTCGACCGTTCTCAGCTTTGATTGACAGCACTGTCATGATTTCAGCCCAGTAGAGAGTTCTGCTGAGGCTTAGTTTAAAGATAGAGTAGAGTTTCTGCAGCGGGTAATGAGATTTGTGCAGTCAGGTATTTATAGAGTGCTTTGGTCAAGCACCTGAACGGAGAAGTATTTTGAGAACATGGTAAAAAAGAAAGAAAATACCTGGGTGTATACATTCCTATCCATCAGTAACTGCTGATGCGCACATCTACTGAAGTACTCCTTGTTGTACAACACTACGCTGCTTAATGAACCCATAATGTCAACACAGTCTCAGTACACATACAGTACCATTTACTACTTTGTTCTGTTTGCAGTTATCTACATATCGGCTTGAGGAAGAGAAGGATGTTGCAGACTCTTCCGTTTCAGGTGAATAGACGTCCCCTCCATGATTATTTCTCCATTACATTTTGTCTATAATAACAAAGTTGTCACTACTCTAGTATTTTGCATCAGAGTGCCTGATATTCTGCACGATCATTTTCAAAACATTTTCTAGAGCCTTCTGTGTCTGACCCGAGACAAGGATGATTCTAACACACCTACAGTAAAACAACTATATTAATGAGTTGAGATGAAGTATAGTAGATTAACTATACTACTATTTTTTTAAAGGTGGGGTTCCAGTAACAGTACCCTTAGTCAGTGTCCTAGTACAACATCTGAAACCACCACTTAATGCAATATAAATGGCAATTTGCAAACATCATCTTTACACACTCGCCCCCACCTGCAGCGCACAGCCTTATAAAAGATCCATTATCCAAGGTGCAATGTTGTTACCCCTGCCCCTCCCGCTCCCCCCGTGCGTTACCTGTGATTCACTGGGTTGTTGTCTCATTGGCCATGAATTATTAATTTAAAGATTATAATCATTCTTCCATTGAATGCATCTTTAATCACCAGCACTGAAGCTACAGCCAGAGTGCAGATGAAAGTCATGCTGCTGTATCTTCAGACAACAGCAAGTCATTGTCGTGGAGTTGTATGGTTGTGTGTGATGTAATTAATAAGACAAAAACTAATACTTTGGATGATGTTGGGGTTTGATGCTAATGTAGTGAGTGGATAACAGCGAGCGGTCAGAGTCTCTGAAGCGTTTCCTCTCTTTGGGCCCTGTCTCTCTCCACTGCTTGATTTGATCTTATTGCCCACTAGAGGCTTTTCATCACAGGTAATCTGGAGGGACTTAATGTTCCTGTTGTGATTGGTGGGCATTAAGAGAACAAATTTTGTTTCCGAGTACTACCTCTCTACTGCACTCACTCTGGTTTATTGGGTCAATTAATTATAAAACTCTTCAATTGCCTCAGAGACAGGAAAGGGTTTTGTTTTCTGTAATTGTTTTATTAATATGCGAAGACAAAAATGAGAAAGGTGGAGGTTGTAAGGATTGATAATCACTGAATAAAACAGCGCTCAGCGCATATGAGTGGAGTGAGGTTTAAATTTGTCGCTGTAATTTTCACCGGAAATATATTTAGAAACATAAAAAACATGTACTGTATATGTCAGAAATACTTCTTGGTGATTCTTGGTGATTGGCCTAAAAAGCTAAACTAATACATATATATGTGTATTTATATAGGTATATATTAATAATATTAATTCATTTTCTAAAGCTAATTATTTTTCCAGGACATTTGGGGAGCTGTAGCCATCCCAGCACTATCCTCTTCACTACCATGTGGTCCTGTGGAGAATATACTGTATGCAATAATGTTGCTCTGTGGAACAAGAAACCTTAAGATAATGGTTTCCAGCCTAATCATCTATCTTGATGCAGCATTGCCTTTTGGGTAACCTTTTAAACCTGAAGCTGTTACCAGGCTGCAGTCACACACCCAGAGGACTCTAATGTGCTTCTTCTCCTGTCGTTCTCTCACGGGATCGAAAACTAAGTCGTAGAGTCACAGTGGGTTTCTAGGTGTTATGGGACAGGACATACATCTTTGTGACCTCAAAACCTTAAAGCAGTGTAAAATAACAATTTTCTTTTTTACTGTGAGTTGATATTTTTGTTTTAAGGGTGAAAACCTCTAATGTCACAACACACAATGTTTTCTTGTGTCTGCAGCTAGATTTTTCTCACATTGTTCTTTAACAAATGGGGTGAGTTGACATGACACACTTCTTGCCCCTGATCCTCCAGCTACTGCTGCTTCAGCATTGTGAGCCGCTCTGACATGGACAGCTATTTCAAGAAATACTCGCTCCTTTAGTGTTTTCATTTTGTCCTTGTCCCTAATGCAGAGATTCCCAACCACTGGGCCGCGCCACATTAGTGTGCCCTAACAGGTCATCAAGTATACAATTTCACTCAACTGCTCTGATAAATATTATTTATTTACTTTAAATAATTGGTCTCCATCTGTGCAATTGTGATGGGCAGAATAATTAACTAAGAAATCAAAGCTGTTAAAGAAGATTTCCTTTCTTCAATTCCTGTGAGTAAATTAGTTTCAGGTTCAACAGGCCCAGGTTTCACACCCAGTAAATAAACTGTGAGTAAATTGACACTTAATGATAATTGTATTTCATTACAGGTACTTTTTGTGATATATTTATTTGGTGGAACGCTGTGGGATTTCTGGCGTAATGTTTGTCTCAGTCAGTTTGTTATTTATTAGTTAGTTTATGTTGATTTATGAAACCTTTCTATTTTTCTAGGCCAAACCAGTGCCACAGAGTAGAATCATTGTTTCAGCTAGATTCCTCAAACCCATCAAGGAGCCATGCACAATATTGTGAGTTCAAATTCACCACTTTATTTTCTTAGTATAGTTTGGTTTGCAGATCCATCTTCATTTAATACAGTATAATGAGTGTAATAATAAAATATATATTGATTATTAACCTTTTTTTTAAAATGTTTTATCTGTGTACAAAGCTGGAAAGCAGCCTCACCGACCAGTTAATTCCTGTTACAGAGACTGGATTATTTTTACCCACTTGTTTTAATTCCTCTCACTTAGCGTGGTTGCAAATGGAGATGTGCTCAACCCTGCAGTGAGACTACTCATCCACCAGAGGCTGCTAGGCCAGTTTGACAAAATACTAGAGATGATCACAGAGAGGATGGGACTCAAAGTCTTGGGGGGCGTTAGAAGGTAAAGTCCATAAGAAAAAAAAAAAATCAACTTTGGAAAATGATGTTATGTCGATCAACATATTCTGATTAAAAAAGTTTAATCCATGAAATAGTTCAGATGATTTTATGATGTCTTATTATCTGTGTGTATTTTCCTATAAACCACAAGTCGTTTAAGAAGGTTTATAACTTGTTGCTGCCCATCAGTCTGTACACCTATGAAGGCCAACAAGTGACAGATGGGCCTCAGCTGGAGAGTGGGCAGCTCTATGTGGCTGTGGGCCGAGAAAAGTTTAAGAAGCTGCCTTACAGTGACCTACTTTTCCCCAAGCCAAGAGGGACGAGGAGGGCGAACGGGTAAGTAACCCACCACACTGAGGCAGATTGATCAAAGTTAACTAACTCAGTAGCTTTTGTCTCTTCTTTTTTTAAATTGTTAAGGAAATAATTTTTTTAAAGATTTCGCTCTACTTCTCTATCTTAATTATTTAATATATTATCATAAATGATATGTTCAAAGGTTCACCTTGTTACTGTGTTGGTCTTGTTAGTCGTAAAGTCTGCATGAAGAGCTATGGACATTTATAAATGGAATACTGTGGAGAAAAGACACTTGGAGACTGTTTGTTTTACCGCGACGGCTAATTACTCCTTTGGGGCCACAACCCTTTTCAGGTCACCTGGAAGCTACATCCCTTAGCACCAAATAGTATTTGTTTATATGATAAATACATTTCCAAGTGTTAGTATTTGTTTATATGATAAATACATTTACAAGTGTGAAAAAGTCCTGGTACATACAGTAGTATATGGATTTTCTTTTGTTTTTACAGTAGCACGGAAAAAAAAAATCTTTTTTTCAACATATACATATCGATCATGTGTAATTTTGTAATAATGCAAATAAATACAGTACTATCTGACATGATTTTCAGCCATGTCACCTTAAGTTCAGGTAAGGTAGCAGTTGTGTGTGTATCAGGCATAGATATTACCTTAAAAAAAAAGCTGTGTTAGCAGCAGATATGCTGTTAACATGCTGCCCCTAGCAACTATGGAGAGTCCTCTGGAACTCTCCTGAGTCCCTCTGGAAGCTAATTTGTGTGTCCAGGTTTTCAGTACCTATATGCTATTCTATGTATTTTTAGGTTGGGTGGTGAAGGCTTGAGCGGACTAACCAAAATCACAGCTATCATTTTATTTTATTTTTAACCAAACTTTCTTTTCCTCAGAGTGAAAGCCAACTCTCTTCCACCAATCTACAGATTCTCCAAGCTAAATGGAAACGTAAGCACTGCTCAAAATACACCTCAGTGAAGGAGTCAATTTATCTGTCACCTAATATAAAGACTAGACCTGTATTGTATGTGAGTTTATTAACTGTCAGCGTTTAAGTGTCATGAAAGTTCTACCAATATCTCCAGCCTCTGGCCCAGGTTTCATACTGTAGCAGATGAAAATAAAGACACATCATCTATTTTTAGGGTTGCAGAGACCTGTACCCTTGCAGAAGGCTCCAGAAGCTTGTCATGATACAGAACAACAAATTCAAATCATGGCTATATCTCGGAGGAAAGAAAGGGAGAAGAGACTGACAGAAGGAAATGAAGACAATAAGACAGAAAAGAAACAAACAAAGTAAAATGACTAGAAGGAAACAAAGGATAGAAGAAAATAAAAACTGTATAAGGTTCATAAGGTTTTATGTCGTCTAAAATAACAAGTGAAAATATGAAGAAACAAAATTGAACCTCAGCAAAGTTAGTCAATCATTTTTATGTTTTTTCCATTACTTGAAGAGTCCATCACAGACAGGCTGTAGTGAATAGATATAGCTGTTAGCTGTAATGTGTGACAGGACAGACGTAAGACTGAAAGGTTTACAGCTAAGTTTATACCAGTGCAGTAAAACATGCTGCAATTCTTTTTTAGTCGAAGGCACTGTCAGAAAAGCTGAGATTTTCACGGCGAGTCAGAAGGCTTGGCAGGATTAGGAATGAACAGAGACCCTGCTATGGTTGGGCAGTTTGGAAATAAAGGCGGGTTTAAGTGTGTGAGCGGTGATAGAGGATAAACTGGGAAAAGGATGCTGGAAATGGAGCTGACAGGTGGGAGAAAAGGAAAAAAATCCCAGAAAAGATCCATGTTTTGTATGTGGAGGACGTGAGGTTAGTGGAAGAGAAGAGAGGCCTGTTCTCACTAGCCCTTAGACAGTACAGCCAAGATAGAAACAATCAGAGTATTTCATAGAATTAAGTTTACTGGCTGTTACTGAGATGCTAAATAATCCTCACTTTCTTTTTAAAAATTGTATTTCATGCACAAGCTTGGTCAGTGTTTGACTTGATTTTCACCTCTCTCCAGAGTAAATCCACCACCAGGCGCAGTGACAGCGGAGGCACGGAGACCAAGACCTCGCCTCAAGGCCATAGTGGAAACAAGGAACACCTGTCCTCCATTGTCAGAGAAATCTCTCAGGCCAGGCTCCTCTCCCTCAGGAAGAAACGGAGCGGACAAAGCATGACACTCGCCGCCTCTGATACCGGTAACAATGATGCAAAACTAAGGCTAGCCAATTAATCATTTCATCTCCACGTCATTGTCTTTTCAGTTTTCTGTTATTTTGCCGATTTCTTCATCGTCAAAAGGTAGTGAAAGAAACTGAAACCTAATTATATTAAGTACTGTGATATTTAAGTTAAATGTTTATAATAATCAGGCATTTATGATTTATGATCCCATTTTGCTGTTTGTCAGATTTGTGGATTAGATCTAATCTATAAAAATAATTAGTGTCCTCAGTTGTTTGGTTTTTTACTGTGTTAATTTTAAACAGTGGGTAAAATATGAAGGAAATTTTCTCTTTAATTCCCAATAATTTTGAATAACATTCACGATTAAATATTTAGAAAAACAGGCACAAGTATGACGTAATGCACTCGGCTTAAAAATCTTATGTAACATGCCTGTTTTCAAACGTCCACGCAGTGGCGCTGTTGTTCTGCACAGATTGTAGCCATGTATTTAAAAGTAGGTCTGTATGATGACATGAACCATTATTAGAAGAAACACATTACATCATCCTCTGGGCTCATGATCACGCCATTGTGTTACTATACAACCCGTCCTTCAAAGTTTGTCTAGAGATTGTCTGTGAGTGCAGGTGCTATTTTCTGAAGTTTTCTCTCTGTGGACGCGACGGTACGTTGACATTAATAACGTGTTGTGTATCACCGTAGTAGCAGTCGAGAAGGGAATTAAAAATATATGTTTGGGTTTATTTAAAATATGTTATGAAACTTCCAAAACAAGAGCAACTTCATTTTTTTTTCTCAGACTGCAGTTGACCTTATTCCAACTCGGGTGGTTGTACGAGCCACATTACGTCACTGTCTAGCTCTGTGATAGATGTGTCCTGTTTTCTCCTCGAGCAGCAGAGTTGACAGAAGCCCAGAGGAGCTGGGGTAGAATTGTGTCTGTTGTTCAGAGACGCTGGCATCTCACATCAAAAGAGGAAAATCTGACTTGTGTGTGTGATTATTTATTCGTCTGGTTTGAAAGCATCTGTGTGTGTGTGTTTGTACGTGTGAGGCTGATGTCCTTCATGTCACTGGCAAAATCATCTTTACCTCATACAGTGGCGTATCATATTATACAAACAGAATGACATGTTGCACTGCGGCTCCCCTTGGGCGACATTGACTGAAGATTGAATAACAGATGGACAGACTGAAAAAAGAGATGGGACATTAGATGCAGTTGTCACCTTCTCATGTACACTGCACTGTTTGACCCATGAAGTCTTTTGTCTAAATGTTTTCATGCTTAACAAGAGCAACATTTAGCCCACAGAGTCTAACATTGTCTCGGGGCAGTTGCACAGTCGCTGTCCGTGGTGCTGAACAGTTAACGTTGCCTAGTCTGGCGGTCTGAGAGCATACTGAACACAGGAGCAGCCGTACAGTCGCTGTCCGTGGTGCTGAACAGTCAGTTTGCGCTTTCTGTCTGCCTTCCAGTTCTATGTTTTTAACTGTGTCTGTACAAATATGTACTTCTAACATTGAACAGCACAAAACAAAAGCTTGAAGAGTCTATATTTAAAAAAACATATTTTTATAGCATATTCCTTATAAAATATCTACTCTTGTTTTGTGATTCACTGCGTTGTAGCAGTGTTTGTGGTGTAGTGTGTTGTTATCGTCTCCATGGGGAAATCCTGCCCTGTCTGGGTATGAGGTAAACACATTCCGTTCTGCTGCCAAAAGGAACACAGCCAAAAGAAAAGTTGGCAAACTGGCAGGGTCAGTGGAAAAATACACAACATGAAAACCACAGTTCCCTGTGGCAAAACTGAAGTAGAAACGTGGCGTATTTGAAACTATAATTGCACGTGTGATGAGAGGGCGGTGGACAATGTGAAATATTGATATGAGATAATATGTGGAGAGAGAAGAAAGGAGACGGACAAATGAGACAGAGTTACGTACGCTGTAACTCGAGATTCACCCTCTGTTCTGTGCCAACTCTATTGTGACAGGAAGGGTAGATTTGGTTTGTGTGTCTGTGTGTGTGTGTTGATATGTCAGCCCCCATTATTCACTGTCAGTCAGCCATGGGGAGCCAGGGTGAGGATGACTACAGCAGTTTATGTTTGGTGTGTTGTAAAGCCTCTGACTTTTCAGCTTCATTAGAGTGAACACCGCGGTTAGTGACAGCAAAGACCGGGGGGAGAGGGTAGTGTGACAAGTCATCCAGCAAAGGTCAGGAAATGAATTTGAACCTACCATAGCAGAGACATTTGGTTTGAAGGACAAACCAACCAGACATGTTGCCTGCTGTTTGCCTTAACAAATACAATTATTCTGTTAATATAGAATAGAATAGAATAGAATAGAAAGCCTTTATTGTCATTATACAAGGTACAACGAGATTTTAAAGCTTCCCTTTGGGTGCACGCAGTGGACAAAGTAAACATATTAAGGGAGAATATATACAAATAAAATAAAAATAAAATTAAAATATTTAGATAAAAAAAAAATAAATAAAATTTTTACAGTGTATGCGTATGTGTATGTAAAGTGTATGTAATATCTGCCTCTCTCCTAAAAAAACCCAACAACAACAACAGGCATTCATTTTATTAGAACATGTTGCTATGCTCAAAATAGGAATAGGTTGTTTGTCAGTGTTTCCTTAATGGGCACTTGTAATTCACTTTGGTTTGAGGTGCCCTTGAGCATCAGAAATGGGAAAAGTGAGGGGAATAAAATGCAGGGAAGAAATTACAGGAAAGGCAGAAAAGTGGGTTGATGAAGAGGGAATAAAAGGTTAGGAAGAAGATGAGGTGAGAGGATTCTATGATCAAAATAGTACAAGTGCAAAAAAAAGAAATATTGTAAAGGAAGGAGATGGATGGGATTTGGATAATTGCTTTTCCCTTGGATAATCTTTCCATTTAGCGTAATCACAGCATAAATTTAGGTCCCTCTGCCCCTCGCTGGGGCCAAATTGCTCTCCTTAAAATCAACAAAAGTGGCTTATTTATTAGTGAGGAGAAAAGGAAGGAAGGATGGAGAGACGTAAAGATACAAACAAGAGAAGGTACTGAGAGCAGGGACTGAAAGCGTCCTCTGATTAGCTGGACCCCCACTCCTCCAGTTTGACTCTTTAAATGCATTCACATGGAGACACTACACAGTGAAACACACATTATTCGCTTTTTACCTGAACATCATCAACATGTCAGTCTGAGCCCAGAGTGCTGGACTATCAGCAAGAGGAGTGTAAAAAAAACAAAGATGCTAAAAACAGTGGGTGATTTTCTTCAGAGGAAGATTATTAAAATTGTTTAATTAAACATAATGAGATTTTTTGTAAAATACAATTTAATGTCCTGATAAACAAAACAGACAATAGAGTGCAGGGGAACAACATACTGTGTGGGAGTGGGACAGTGTTTGTCAATGATAGCCCTGTGTAGCCTGTCATCAGATTCTAATGGGACAGATTAACTTTCTGCATCCCTGACTAATGTCCGATCCACTGCAGCGTTTGTGATTATATTTTCCCTAACAGCGTGGTTGTTATAGGTAGATGTGGATTTTATCTTCCCAAATGAGAGGTCATGGTTTAAATCCCAATATGTGTTTCCATATCCCTCATTCAATTCCTCAGTGATGTTTCCTTTCTTTAATATTTTTAGTCTCTTTTTACCACTGTTTACTGTTTACTGACATTGTCTTTAACCATAACCATATCCATTCAATGGAAAACACTAACCTGACCTAAAATCCCCTTTCTTTCTTACTTACTAAGTAATCCTTCAGGAGTCGTTATGCTGACCTAGGATCAGATTTTGATCTTAATAATGATGACAACTTTGATAAAAAAAGAAAAAAAAGAAAATCAGTGATTCTTCAACCTTCACATAAATAAACACACACGCTTGCATGTACACAATACACACACACACTGTACGTATGTATTACGTACAGTACGTGTGTGTGGCTTCGCACATGCATAAGCCGTGGTGACAGATCAGCCGACCTGCCTGTGGCGTCATAAAATGTGATGCTGCCTTTGGGAATTAGTCCTGTTAGCATGTGTTTCTGTAATGCCTGTCAGCATGAAATAGCTCGCAAAACAGCCTTGGTAGGCAGGAGACATGTGCATAAAAAGGCCAAGGCTTTTAAATCAAGAGCTTGTGTCAAAAAGAGGCTTAGCACCAGTGGATGAGAGATGAAAACATTAACAAAATATCAGCAGCAGCCAGCACTTTGGTGTGTTTAGTGTTTTGTTTTGTTTTTTTGTTTGGTTGTTTTGTGAAAACACCACTCATCTTCTTTTCTCAGGATTTTATTTCTCATTTAATTTGCCTGATTTAAAACGGCTGGTTCTTAATGTTCGTGCTAATCGGCCGCAGTAATCTCTTAATCTGTCAGCGTTGAGCTTTGACGTGACAATCGAGGAAAGGTTTAGGAAATGTAACGTTGAGGTCCGTGTGTCACTTCACTGACACAAATCTTTGTGTTATTCTTTCCTAATCAGGTGAAAGATTCTATAAAAAAGTATATGATTTGTACATTTTTCCATCACTCTTATTTTAGCCTTTTCTGTCTAAATTATAATTGGTCATAACTACTGCTTTTTTTTTTTTTACCAGAACAATCAATGACAAAAAGTACATTTTTTCTCTTGGAAATTCTTTCTGTATGCTCATTAATGGTGAGGAATTAAAAAATATATATAATGTGTAAATATACATCAGAAACTAAAATAATAAATGAATCCCAGTTTATCTCTCTATCCATTGGGTGAGGCCCAGACCAACTGGCTTCTTTGTGCCAAAATCAATAAATTAAAAAAAGAAAAAAAAGTCCAATTGACTCCCTCCTGGTGGCTGGACATCCAGTCATTAAATGCTTTAACAGGACCCTGGTCAGTGACTGAGGCACGGCTGCTGAGTGGCAACATTTCATAATTACCATTCAGGGTAACTCTCCATGTTGTTTTACATCCCTCCATAACTCAGACATGTGCTGACTGTGGAGAATCAGTGCAGGTTCTGGTGACCTGCGGTGAGCGTGTGTGGAGTGATTTAGAAGCACTGAGTAGCGTGTTTTGGCTCCTGGTGATTATGTCACTCGCACCGTGCTCTGCTTCATTGACACTGAGCCGTGATTTGCGTTTGTGCGGAGCAGCACTCTCTGTGGCTCGGAGAGAATTAAGATTCCTCTCTTGTGCAGCCCGGGAACAAGAAACACTATTGACCATGACATCAAACGCATTTCCAGGAACCTGTCTGTGCTCTGCTTGTAAGACAGATGTCTGCCTGTCAGAGGTAATGAAGCTGTAGAGTCGTATGGTGCATATGGAGTAAAACAAAAATCTTGTAGGTCATCAGGTTCAGCTGAGGATTTTCCCCCATGCTCACATGCTCACACTCCTCACTGTAATAAAAACAGACCTATTGTGATGAAAGTTTCATGATCAGTGGTCTGTAATCGATGGACTCAAACTGTTCTACATTGTATTTTTCTAGTTCTCCTGCACCACCCACCCCACTTTACCTCCACCTACAGGAAAATCAGGAGCTGCTCTCGTAGGCGTCATACATTTACAATGAACCTCAGCGTGATCTAAATTGCTGCTGCTCGGCTGCCGTGGAAAAATATAATCTTGAACTTATCACTACAGATTGCCTGTGGAGTCTGGAAAATAACTGCAATGCACGGCTTAAATGCTCCCACCCCCCCATGGGGTAGAGTAGCTTTTAAACATGACATCAGACCTCGCAGTTCTCTCCGAGGTTCAGCTGCCGACTTTATCTCAGCAGAGGGAGAGACCAAAAACAATGCCATCAGTTACAGTTGATGTTTATTTATAAAGTAAATTAATTTACTTTCATATATATATATAATATACATGTATTATGCCATATATTTACTAAAATGGTATTATCACCGCGTGACCCCACATAACCCTTATCTAAATGTATAAATCATTGTTTCCAATTTTTTTGCAGCGCCCCCTTTGGTAGATACGACTTGTCGATCCTCTGCCATACATCGACAAACTCACAACTATTACCTCAAAATCTACGTCATTGCCCTCCCCCCACCGCAACAACTCCATGCCCTCAGATTGGGACCGCCCCCCATTTTGAGAACCCATGTTATGTGTTCATTGAACTGAAATCTCCTGATGGCTTTGTGTCTGTATGTGTGTGTTTGCATGCATTAGTCAAGATTAAGTGAAAATGTCTGGTTGACAGAGTCGCAAGTTCAACTCCCTGCTATCACTTCATCTACAGTTGTGTTTTATTACATTTCCGTGGCACACCATTCATTTCAAGCACTACCTCAGAAATATGGCAGCGCGAGCCATTTATCTGACTAATTATACCCGCTTACACTTGCATCCTTGTTTTACCTCCTCATGATGGATGTTGTGTGGCATTAGCTCTGAAATGTAATGTGAGCGTTCGCTCTGCTGCTGTTTGGGTGTGTGCGTGAGTGTGTGTGTGTGCATGTAACTTCCTTCTGATTATGACAGAAAAAGAGGCCAGACACATTTCAAACACAAACTGTCCGACCGACTCCAATTCAAGAATCCACATCCCCTGAATTTAATGAAGAGCTGGTGGAGGCTCTAAATGTTGTATTTAATTTGATTTAGCATTTGCATGAGCCAGTGTCTCATCCTCAAATCACGTTAAGATGTTTATAGTTGTGGCGGCTCATCCGCTGCTGACTGCTTAAACTCTCGGCTTGAGCTTTTGCTGTTAATGAATGCAGGCGATTTCCATAAAATATCCTTAAAGAGGTCCGTTATTATTACCATAACGTTTCATCTCCCGCCGCAGCTAAACCTCAATCTGTTTTGCATTTGAAATGCATTAAATGTCTCCACAAACTCTTCTAATCTCCACCTGAGTCATTTCTCTTTTTTAACTGCTAGTTAGGAAAAAATGAAAAAGTAATATTAGAGACATTAATTACACCATTCCCTTTCCCCCCCATAACTCTTTTGCTCAGTGTCTCTGATTGGAGGACTCAGTCTCATCCTGTGTTTCAAAACAAGTGTGCAATTATGTTGTTTATCAGAGCGTATAGATGTATTTCTCTCCTGATGTTTAGGGTGCTTTTTTTTTTGAGCGCTTTGATGCAGATGCTCACATGAAAACTGAAAACCTCTCTTATTAATTTTGCACTCCAAAAAGGCTGCATTCATCAAACGGCTTCAAAAGAAACGCGTGTGACTGGCTGGTGTTGAGTGCTGCCGCGATGCCTTCATTGAAACACTAGGAGGCTTATTGATGTTCCAGTGATATTTGAATCATAAGTGATGACAGGTGTTAGGAAATATTCTCAGTAGCCGATTGTAGTGTCGTCTTTTTGTCCCAAGGCACAGTGAAAGGTGAAAAAGCCCTTTGAGTAGACTGTATAAATTTGGAAGAGAGAAAAAAAAAAAGGACGTTTCTGCAAATGTCTTTTTTTTTTTCAAATTAAAGGGAAAATACTTGACCTATTTTTCTACTGGTGTGAAGCTGTGTCCCTGGAAGACTGCTGTTAGATAAACATCAGCTTTGGGCTTGTTTTCACAGATCTGCCTCCTGTGTGTGAGTGTATACAGTACGTGTGTGTGGACCATTTATAGGTACAGTATCCTTGTGGGGACATCTTTTTAAAAAAATACAGTATTTTGAGGTTTAATATTTATTTATGTTTAGATTTAGGGCCAAGTCAGGGTGAGGGTTAAGATTAGAATCAGGTATTCATTTGTAATGGTTATAATGGTCTGTGTGAAGTCTTCACACTGCATGAAAACCAGACTGTGTGTGTGTGTTGGTGTGTGCGTGCAGTAAGAGCAATGGGCTTTATAAGTAGAGCAACCTTTCCCTTATAAATTACACCAGACATTTTCTTTGTCTGCTGAACTTGTTTACTTTCCTGGAGGAAAAAAAAAAATCGGTGCTTTTTATTTTTACCACCAGGTGTCACTCTTGTACTGCGTCCGTTCAAATCCCTGAACCCCGCCGCTGAATAAAAGCTGTAAAATCTCAACAAGTCACTCACTGGGTGGTGAATAAAAGCCCCCTTATTTATGGGAGAGGTTTTTATGGATGTCTGAAATGATGTAATGTGCTGTGATTGAGGAATTCAGGTTTTAGGGTCATGACTAGCAGTGAGCACATAAAACAAACTGATTAGGACTTTTTACACATACATACAGAGCGACAGTGTGCTGAATTACCTCACATTCTGTTTCATTTAGCCCTTTGATTAGCTCCAGAAACACATTTATCTCAAGAAATGAGTTTTATCCGTGTCTTTGGAACACTCCTCTCACATTTCTACCTCTACGTGTTTCATGTGACATTAACAGGCATATTTACATCTGCGCCTGAGAGACACAAACAGCGTGTAATTTCCTGCCACAAGGACTTGTTCACTCAACTTGTATTGTCCGTTGCAACTGCTCTGATGTACACACCAGGATGAAGCACAGGGTCCGCATTCTCATTACACTGAAAACACACACAGAGTGTGAATATTTATCCGTTGTGAACAGATGCCTCTGTGATGTGCTTTGCTCGGCGACTTAATGTATTCTCCTTATTCCCAGATGACCAGGAATCAAAAGCTAATGATGGAAACACTGATGATAAACCCCCCGAAGACCAACCAGATGAAGAGGTACAGACGGTAGTAGAACAGGGCTGGCGATTGCAGGAGCTGGCTTTTGTTTTTTCCAATAAATATTGAAATCAGTCTTATATGTGATGTAATTACTCACACATTGATAAGTATTTCTATTTTAATGTCGTTTTAATAAAACACTTAGGGATACTGCGTACTTGGAAATACTTGTTTTCTTTTCTCAACATAAGTTTCATTTCATTCAAACAAACAAAATTCAAATGTGTTTTCATTAATAATTTCTGTGTTTCTTTAAACTCCAGAAACCTGCAGAGGATGATACACAGGCTGCAGAAGAGAATGACAAAAACGGAGGAGAGGAGGGGAAGCCTGCCTTGGAAAACAGCAATGATGAAAATGTGTCTCCTGACAGCGAAGCAGATGAGGAGACAAACAAGGAGACAACTGTTGAGGAGGACGAAGAGAAAAAAGAAAATGAAGCAACAGAAGACAAGGCTGATGAAGAGCCAGATAATGAAAAAGAGAGCAAAGTAGAGGAGAAAGAAGGAGACCAGAAGGCAAATAATGATGAAGAGGGTCAGGGAGCAGTTGAAGACGAGAAGAAAGAAGGCGAGGAGGAGGTGGAAATTGAAGAAGAAGTGAAGGAGGATTCGGATGAGAAAAAGGAGGAGGTGACGAGTGAGGAACAGGGGCCCGCTAGTAGCACCCATGATAAGAGCCAGGACAGTGAAGAGAAAGGGGATGGAAGTCATACATCTTCTGTGGGTGAGGAGAAGGAGGCGGAGAAGGAGGCAGAGGAGGAGGAAGAGGAGGAGGAAGAGGAGGAGGAGGAGGAGGAGGAGGAGGAGGAGGGCAAAAACACTGAGGGACAAGATAAAGACAGTGAGGACCAAAATAATGATGTAGACAAGGACAAGGAAGAGAACAAGGCAGAAAACAGGGATGACCCAGGGAGGACTCAGTCAGATGGTGAGACAAAGGGCAGTGATAAAAGCAGGAGTAACAGCAGCAACAGTAACCAGGAGGACGGGAGGGAGGACACAAAGGAGGGAGCTGCTAAGGAGTCAGAGCAAGAGGAGAGACAGGAGAATGGAGACGGTGACAAGCAGGAAAGTGAAGCAGAACTAGAGGCGGGGGGGGGAAGAGGACTCAAAGATGCAACAACAAGTGGAGAAAAGGAGGAGGTTGGTGGAAAGAATTGAGATGTCAGGCTGGAGGACAGGCTGGAAATGGAAACTCCAGAGTTGGTGTGAGCAGTGAGCTGAAAATGGAACGCGATACTTTACAACACAATGTCAGAGTAAAGCAGGAGTGTGACTTGAGAGTAGTCAGAGATATTGACTGGACGTCTCATAAACCCGACGTTCAGCAAATACTATATATTTTTTCGAAAGCTAAATAATTAACAATTATATTTCTGCAGTACATTCTGAGGTTAACGCTAAAATAGCATCCACATCTATATATCCTATTAAAACACGATGTCAAACTCTGAGCTGCTTGACTTTCACTATATGCTGTGAACAGTGTAGTGACAGATGCAGAGTAAATACAGTTTATACCTTTTATTGAAAGAAAACCTTAACATATACATATATTTATTGGTTTGTTTAATGTGTATGTCAGATATCATGATCACATATATTATTTATAAATATTAGTTTTAGGTGAAAGAGATAAAAATCTGCAATTGACATCCAGTCTCCTCATTGTTCTTTTAAATTTAGATAAAAAAATTCCTTTTGGACGGCGTTTGATTTTCCCACTGTAACATCCTTCATCAAATAAATGTTTAATTTAAAACACCTTTGTCTGCAGACCAATGATTCCCCAAACACTTTCGTTAATGAGAAAGTAACTTATCTACTTGTTATGGTTCAGTTTCTGGACTAGTCAACTGGTCAAAGTCACAATGTTGATGTTCACAGCTTTAACCAGCAGAGGCATCATTTTGAAATGTAGTGTATCTCACATGTTTATTCAGACTCTTTTTGTTTCCCTGCTGGGTGAGGCATCAATACAGAGGCGTCCATAGACAGGAGTCTGTAAAGTGTGATCTATTTTGGTGTGTGTGTTGTCCTCATCAGCCTATCTTTACTGTAGCTGCTCCAAATGGGATGCAGGCTGTGAGTCACCATCTCACAGGAGAGGAAGAGCGAGAGGAAGAAAAAGAGCGCAAAGGCCAAGTGACAGAGAAGGACAGAGGAGGTGGGAGCTGCTCTGTGTGTGTGTGTGAGTGTGTGTGAGTCATACAACCTGACTGGAAGCCTCACCGGTTGGGGGTGTGATACCTTAAGGTGCTATTTCTGGGCTTGTCATTAATTCTATATTGTTTCCTCCACTGGCTCTTGTCAGTGTCTGCCACAGTCTGCTGTTGTCAGTGTACTAGCTGTAAAAATCCATACTGTATCATGTCTAAACTGTGGAGTTGGGATTCTGGGAATTCCTATGGGGGAAAAAAAAGTAAAACCCTGTAAATTTGTTGGGATTCTGGGAATTCCTATGGGGGGAAAAAAAGTAAAACCCTGTATTTTTTTTTGCTGTTATCTTTGGTCATATGGAGAGTCACCAGTTCACCAGGTGTACGGCTCTGCAGCTCAGTGCTCTTGTACCTGCGTCTGACTTTTGATGGAAAATTTCAATTGGCAATTACTAGTCTCTAAATGGACTTGAATTTGTGAAAAATGTTTTGACCAAAGTAAACTGAACCCATGGATATTGGCAGAAACTAAAAATGTGAATACACTGCTTTACCTCTGACTCTTATTATACTATTAACAATTTATATTACTGGTAGATTAAATCCAACGTAGCTGTTGTTCAGTCATGATTAATCGTGATTAATCATCAACAGTAATAGTTTATAAAGATAACTCAACAAAATATAAAAATCTGTTTATTGCTAGACCAGAACAACAGTAGATATCTAGGTGTTAAAATGCCTTAAAAGTGACTGACTTTGTAAAAAAACATTGTGACCATACGGTAAAAGATTATTATTAGAAGGAAAAGAAGACGAGGAGAGAAGGTTGTGTGTAACTGTGAAACCTATTGACACTTCTATGACTGAACACCGCCTGCAGAGACACAGAGGAAGTGTTTTTGTCACTTTTAATGAATCACTCATTAAACATCAGCCATGGCGTGGTGATTTATTCAGTTTACTCATCTGAGTTCTGTACGTCCACGGTGTGACCTGCAGTTCGTCAGAATCAGATTAGGACTAAATTCTATTCTATATGGAGACAGATGAACTCAATGGGTTTAATTGACCTTTGATTTCATATATATTTTATATCCACTCAAACCTTTGGTTAGAACTTTTTTATTTACCACTTTCATTTTCCACTGTTACATCAACAGACGGTTTAGGAAATAAACAGAGGAAACGAGATGACGTGGGGTTTTCAAACACAAAATGTGAAAACAATGTCCATCAGGGAGTCATAACCAAGAACTGGTGGTAAACACATGGTTAGATATAAAAAGGAAAACATTCACAGCATGTGGTAAGTCAGCACATTTATTAACTAGTCACGAAACACTGAACACTCAGGGGTGTTTGGTTTTATTAGCTCCATCTTTATTCTTTTATTGAAGCTCTGCTGTGGGTATAATTTATAGTAGCTTGATAATTATTGCAACTCCTGTGTTGATTAGCAGCCCCAGGCTACAGAAGGAACGTGTTGAAATGAACCTGTGTGATGAAGAAACAGTGAGAGCCCAGGTTTTTCAGGGTATCATCGCCGTACTGCTTTGTACGATGTTGTACGTAATTGTTGCTGAAGGAAATTTATGGACATTTAAAAACAGTACAGAAGTTTCTCCTGGTAACTATTTCATTACATTAGCATTGTGTAAATAAATAACAGAAACATTGTTTTGTTTTCTAAAGATATTCTTCAGGGACCGGAGGCCAAATGCAAATGAAAGTCTCGTTGAAGTACAAACATGAACTTTAAAACAGATTTTAAAATCTAGTGTTCAGTTAATTGTTTCTTAGAGGAAATCCATCATTTGGATGCTCGACTGATTAGACTAAAGCTCTGGGCCTTTGTGATACATCGGCTGACCTTCAAATGCCCTCTGAAGGAGATGAACCTCATGACAACTTCAATTTAAAACATTAAACAAAAACATTTTTCTAGTTTCTGTCCTTGTTTTATGTTAGGAGATTTTGTGGGCTGATGTTGTTTATTTATTGACCTCGTTACCCTCATTGATGTAATATCAGAGTTAGTATTCATGGAGAATGTGTCAGTATTTATTGATGCATTATTTTAATAGTGCGTATGAATCATCACATCACAGACGAAGACGGCTTCGAAACGCTGCCAAACAGTTCATGTAGTCTGACTACAGAGCTGTTTGTACTCTCCGTTTCCTGGTTATGTAACATGTTTGCCTCCTGCATATCAATTGGACATCAACAATTTGTCAGGCAACGCAGGGAAAAGCTACAGGAATCTGATTTACTTCATGAAAGGTACAGAAACATTGTTGAGTGATGGATGTCATGTGGAAATACCGTGTGTATTACTCACTCTACTGTATAACTATACCGATTAAGTGGCAATCCCTGCTGCTCTAAACGTTCTGCCTGATTCAATATGTCTTTCATCAGCCTGTCTGTGTTCATCTATTGATCCTGTCAGACGATTGGCTGAAGGAGACACAATCAGAGTCTTAACAAGGCAGAAGAAAATGCCAGTGTGGTATTTACCCATGAGGTTGTGTCTGATCTGTGCATTCCAATTTGTTTCCATGATGTCTACTACAGTGATACTCAACCGCTGTTCAGCAGCGCATTAGTGTGCTAGCAGAGGTCATCAGTTGTACCTTGGAAAATCATCCCATTTCACTTAATTTGCCTGAAAACTATTAGTTGTCTATGTAAAAGTGATGAGGCAGAACAATTAACTACTCTTCCACTAGGTAGCAGTAGATGGCTATTAAAACTAATGGGAGGTGTTGAAGAAGATCCTCGTTTGTCTTTCTTCAATTCCTGTCAGAATATTAGTTGTGTTCAACTAAACAGGCCCAGGTTTCACATTAAAACTAAAGAGATAACTATACTGTATTTCATTACATATAGTTTTTGTGACATTTTTGTTTGGTGGCACGCTGTGGGAAACAATGTTCTTAGAATGTTTTGTGTTAGCATAGGTATGAACAGCTGAGAGGAATATAAATACCACATTAAAATACAAATTACTCTCTTCAAAATGATATGACTAGACAGTGGGGTGTACAACCTGTGGCTCCTGAGCCCTGCGCCTCTGTTTATTGACTCCCTGCAGTGAACAAAATGGACTCTGACTGATCTAAATGAAACACCAGACCAGAATAATAAGTGGATAGCAGATAAGAATGGGCTGTAATTTGGTAGGAAAATTAAACCAAATCTACACCAGAATCTCTTAAGTGAGAAAAGATGTGATCGGAGTGAATGTGTCATACTAAATATTGCATTGGAACTGATCAGCATACATTGTAAAGAGTTGTTTTTGTACATACTACTGTATTTGAACCTTCATAAAAAACTGCCATCATTTCATGATTCTGTGGCTTCTGCTGATTTTTCTTTCCTTAATAAATGATAAAAACATCTCTTTTGGTGCAGGGGTTGCAGGATTCTGGACTAGACACTGGCCAGAGATAACAATGTTTACTGTTTTTTTATTATCATTTCTGAGAAAAAAAGGTCCAATTACTGTGAATTTGGAACAAAACAGCTACTGTTGCTCTGCTCCCCTTGGCAGTTACCATCTTCTCTGCAGGAAAACATTTTGTGAAAATTGCAATTATGTTGTTCAGCAGCTGCGTCCTATCGATTTGTGTCTGTTGCTTGTTTCTGAGTGAGGCTCTGAACTGCCATGTTCTCGGTTGGATTACAGTAAATTCCCTAAAACACGTTGCAAAAAATGAATTAAACCTTTGTTCGGCTTTGTTAACTCAGCACTCACATTATATCAAGTCAAAAATAAAACTTTAACGTCAAACACAACAAATAAAAGATGGAGAACCCAGAATTTAGGTGGTATATAAGCAAAGCTTTCAGGGAAGAAAGTGCACACACACGCACACACACACACACACACTCATGTGTACACTCTCAGTCACAGTCTGCGCTCCCATCAATTCTCATTCACACGGTTGGGCGTTCTGTCTTCATGTTGGCTGCTGTCAGGTTTCTGACTTTATATTCGTTGGCTGGATGTTCTGGACTTTGGAAAGTGTGACTGGCACTTTTCCCTCACCCGGGGTGGGTGCTCTCATGATAGGGGTACCTGCAACAGAAGCAACATTCTTGTGTGGCGTATGTACTGTATTTAAATCTGCCAATGATGTTGATTGTGGAAAGAATGCTGACAATGTCTTACCGACTGCTGCGTGCAGATCTGCTAACCTCTCCTTAAACTTCTGCTGCAAATACAGCTCTTCTTTGGAGTAGCTTTTGGCAAACGCCGACATTAAGAGGCCCACAGCCATGGATGTGCCTCCCACGCAGAACAACACGGCACCAGTCAGCTTACACACATCCAGGGCATGGTTAAAACTGACTGCATGGCTGGTGGGAAAAAAAAACAAGTCATAATTTACAGACTGGTGTATTGAACGACATGAACATTGAAGAGGAAAAAAGGATAAAGTAATCGGCTTTAACTGCTCAAATATAAGTACATCAGGGCTGTCAAATGATCAAACTTTTTCATCTGATTAATCACGATTATTTGAGATAATCAACATTACCAGATCTTAAAAAGAATCTGTATTTTGCTGAAAATACATATTTTTTGCGAATAACATTGTTATTGTTGTTCATGTTGTTCTACCTATTTTACTTTTGTGTCAGCATGTAATCTGAAGACTTACTACACTGTGCTCAATCAAGCTGCTGTTAAACAAACTTTTTTCCCACAGTGTGTGCAAATGCCATGTGTATTGACTGTGAGTTAGAGCAAGAAGTGAATAGACAGTAGAATTACTGGATATGGATATAATGTTATTTTCATCTCAATAATTTCACAAATTAATTGTTGGTAATTAATGTATAATCAGGAAAACGCATTTATTTTGACAGAACTTTGGGAAGATGTTACTTTTTTTCATATGTTGCAAGAAAGACAGGTGACCAGAGCTGTACAGCATCTTTACAAATATTACGACATCACTATTTTTTTTTTTACCTGTCAACAAACAGGAGATCATCCTCGCCGAATGCTTCAATCCTGGTGGGAGTAGTGTAACCAACCACAACAACTACAAGGCCTGACAGGAGGATAAGTGTTCCAAACGCGAGACAGACCTGGAGGCAGGTAGGTTGCAAATTATTGTCATGGACGGAGTGTTTATTTACTCAGGTGGTGTTTAATTTGTTGATAACGATCTAAAGGTCATCCTCACCTTCCAGAGTAAAGAGCTCCACCTGCTTGGTGATCTCTGAATCTGAAAATCTTCATCACGTTCCCATATTGAAGCGGTGCACTCCTCATAAAACTGGACAAGACATCAACAACCACGTTAGACGTCTCACATTACAACTAGAGAAACCGAATAGAAGAGTCTGGAAAGATTATGGTAGAATCTGGTAGCTGATAATGGTAAGTGGCAATGAACAGTGTTTGTAGCTTGAATAAATAATAATCAATTGCAGAAACATCTATTAGTCTGTTATGGAGTAGTCACATCTGTACCAGCGCTCCTCAACATTTTTGTTCCAAGGACTGGTCAGCCAGTACCACCCTTCACACTCTACTACAGACCAGTAGCAAGGTGCAAAATAAAACTTCTTTAGGCTCTATTCTGTTTGCATCAGAGTCTGAATGATATAATATTTTAAATATATTGCCAGATTATCTTTAAATAAAGAAAGTATATCGATATGACTGGATTTTCTTTGATTGAGGTAAATTAGTAAAAATGAAGTACTTTTTTTTACTGCGTCCCACTGCGGCCCAGTACCAAATGACTTATGGACTGGTACTGGTCTGTGGACCGGGGGTCTTCCATTTACAACCGGCCCTTCAAGGGGAACTGTATTGCTGAAGTGGCCCCGAGTAAAAATGACCCCCCGTTCTATCCTGTCCTTGTCTGTCTGAGTGTGTCTCTGTGTGTGTGTTGACGTCAGCCTTCTACCTGATGGAGGTACGAGCGGACGCCATACTGATGATAATTTCCAGCTGCTTGAGCTTCCCCGTACTCCGACCCACAGATCTCTGCACAAGAAGTCATCCTTCACATCCACATCTGTGTGCCTGCTTTAGGACACCAACACAGAGACACGACATACCCATTTAAAGACGTTCCATTTGGCTGACGACCCAGCCGCTGCTGGTAAACCACAGAAGCTGCGTTCATATTTACACACATGCGGATCTTTTCTCATTTGAGATTTTATGTACAAAGGCAGCAGACACACGCTGCCAGCGGTGTTACATAAAACTGATCCGAGAGCTCACTGCTCACTGAGATTAATGATGCATTCTCTCCGTCTGCTGTTATGAAATAAGCCATGAAACATTACATTGATCCACATCTTTAGATTCAATTTCGCCTTGGACAAAAACAGAGTGCTGACATCACAGACCACAAAATGCACTTCTTTTTTGCAGTTGGCCAGCTTTGATAGAAATGACACAAAACACAGTGAAGGCAACAGCTTTCAACAAGTACAACGAGAACAGTAGTCATGGAATTGTCATTTTCTCAGCCGTTAAGGGTGTATGTGTGTGTCTGTGTGTGTCTTTTGCCAAAGCTCTAAATAATTTGAAACAGTTGGAAAACCAGCTTGACATTGCATTATTTTTCTGGTGCATTGATATGTGAAGTCACTGTGAAGTGAAATTATGTCTGTGGAAATGTAGGTGCACTGATTGGATTAGATCTAAGAACATAACGGCAACATATAACAACAGTTACACAGTATGAACTCACAGTGGAGTGGTTTTTGCAGAAGAGGATAGTTTGCAATGAAAGGCCATAATGCAATGAAATGGATTCAGGAACTCTGGTTGTTATAAAGTATGGATACATTATCAACAATGACCTCAGCAACTGGTCCCATCTGTGCTGCTGTTTTTTTTTTTTTCCCTAAATCCAAATTAGAGCCACTTAGCTAATAACAATGATGTGTGATTGTCTAGAACTGCTGCTGCCAACATAAATAAGTGAAGTGAAGATATTATAATGTGTTTCCTTTTTTCAAATTCAAGATGTTGTTTCAATATAGAAGCTAAATATTCATATTGTCTTTGTGGCAGGATTATTATATGCGACTTTTAATGTTGCAGAAATTGAAATCTGTTCCCAAAGCAAGTATGCTTTTTTGTTAATGAAACAAAAATGAAGCCAAGCTGATAGTAGAGATAATTTGTCAGTCCTTAATAGAACCACACATAAAGAGCCCAAACTGTCACTTTAATGGTGATGACACCACTCACATTGTTAATCTGTAAAAGAAAGGAAGTCAGCTTTTATCCTTTTTATTCAGATTAATCACATTTGGATCAAAACAGTTGTGAGGTCAGATGTGATTAAGAATAAAATATAAAGAAAATGTTGAAGGTAATGATGTCGGCAAAAGAGAGTGGCAACAAACGAGGAGTACGGCCTGAGTTCTCTGTGAGTGTTCATAAGGATGATGAGATGAGCAGATGGAGAGTGACTCACTACTGTAAATTACTAAACATGGATTCACACTGTGTTCTCTGGGAGGGGAAAAAAAGATCTTTTTTAATCAGAGAACATAATGTGAGCGTGGTGAGGGGGAAATGTTGCATCAAAATGGGACGCACTGTTCCCTGGCTGTGGCGTTAACCATATTAATGTGTATGTGCTGAGGCCCTGTGTGACTAACACGTGGTCCAGCAGAGATGTTGTCATGTCTGTCTGCACCCATATGACTGCGTAATCACTCAGGCTGAAATATTTACCATCCACTGCAAGATACATTTTGCCGCTATGGAAACTGAGATTACTTCAAGTGTAAATAAGCAGGATGGGTGTGATAATCCAATAGCATGACCTAGTTTACTCTAAAGAAAAATAAATAAAATAAAACAATGTCTTAAAGTTACCGATTCCACAAAATCATAATTTATTCTACAAAGTTAATTTGGTTTCTGTTTACATTCAAAGGTGACCACGTGCTACTTCAGTTTTATTTAATTATTTCAGCACTACCGACCTTGTTTCGACCCGTACTATAGTGAATGACAGTTAAATGAATAAACGCTGTTTAGAAAAATACACCATCGTTGTATCGAACAGCAGAACAGTGTAGAACCGGGAGCTGGCCGTGGTGCTGAACGCCATGATTACCATCCAGCCTTCATCTTGGCTGGAAAATATTTATACGTAACATGTGACGCCAGACTCAAAACAGATCAGATCCATTTGTCCTTCAAGCCCCCCACAAGACGCAAATAGAAACAAAATGCCGCCCCCCTCCCATATCCCCATCAAACCTAATCTAGAAGAACTGAGGCGCTCTTTCAGATCTTTACATCCTGACCCTCTGGATACATATACCGGAAAAAGGACCGTCTCTAGGTACACACATTACTGTGTCACAAGGAAGTTTTTATTTCGTGTCATCATCTCGTACATAGTGCGATGGAGATATCGTCGAACGAGGACATCTGTGACGACGGAAATAAAACAAAATAATAATAAAACATAGCAGTTTGTTAGACCTCTACATGACCGCTCTACTTTCCAATGTGAAGCTGAAATCGCCGTGCAGTGATCGCACTGTTAAATATTCTTTGCAGGAACTATGAAATCCCTGGAACGTTGTTTATGGAAGTAACGTTCAAGCACGGCAGCCGCAGCCTTGACAACTATTATTTAAAAAAAGAATCAAGGTCATCATTTACCTGACATTACCAGCTCGGAGAGTGCGCTGCTGCTCCTTCAGCCGGGTCCCATCACTCTACACTCACCCCTCTCTCTCTCTGTCTCTGTCTCTCTCTCTCTCTCTCTCTCTCTCTCACTCACGTTGTAGATTTGTACTCTCTCCAGTGCGCAAGCGCATCCTTGACAATATATTATGATTGAATGACGCTCATAAATAACCAGGCAGGAAATGGTTGGGAAGATAGGGAGAGGAGCAGGTGGAGGGAGGGGGGAGGGGTGTGTGTGTCTGTCATTCATTCATTCAGTCATCATCAGTCAGTCAATTTACAGTCATTTAAAGAGACTGTAATGAATATATACATACATACATACATATATATATATATATATAGGGAGAGAGATAGATATAGATATATATAAGATATAGATAGATGATAGATAGATAGATATCCACTGTAGCTTTAATTCATGCATTAAGTCGCCATCTATCTATTAGTCTATGGTTCGAGTCCGGGTCTCAATATCTTACGCACAAATGCATAGAAACGCGCATGCACCACATTCTCCAGAATTCCAGTCACACAGTCCAACACGGTCTATTTTTAGCAGCCAGTGACGTAGATTTCGTGAGGAAGGTGTGAGTCACTACCTCCGTGCTTCTGAGGATGTCGTGACCCTG